TGCCACTGGGGTGTGGCAACCCTGTAAAGGGTTGCCGGAGACATCTATGTGTAGAAGATGGAGGAAATTGGCGGTTGAATTGAGGCGTGGTGTTATAAGTTAGTGAAAAATTGTTAGCAGACATTGGGGGTTCTGTTTATAGTTGTTACTATAGGTTGCAGTCTTGCTGTGACAAAAAGTCTACACTAAAACATGCTTTAGTTTATATTGTGTAATTCAAGGATATAAAATGCAGCTTCAAGGTGGATATTGGAGAGCTGACGAAAGATTGTGGTATTTTTATCAATGATGGCTGAATATGTGATAAAACGCAATTTCCCTCGGGCAAGGTGATACTTTGACTTTGAGTCGATATTTGACTTGGTAGATCAAAAGATGTTAAACGCATAAAATCGGGTGTTCAATAAATGGTCTGTAAAAACTGTAAATTGGGAAGATTGCTAAAAACACGAATAATAAGTAAGGGTTATAACTTCAATCAAGCTCCACATAATATACAGGATGCTTACATTTTTTAAATATCTGATATTCTATCAACTCTCCAACTAGTAAGTCTTCACCTATTTCTAATAGTACTATAAAACGTATTTGGAATCTGTTGGACACTTGTCCCACAAAGGGCAAATTACTAGAAGACCAATCACAAAATCTTTGCACGAATCGAAATTTCCGTATTTGAAATTCTCAATCAATAGATAATTTGGGGCCATGTTAACAACGGGGTAATTTTTTGGTGTCAATTCATGTCGGAATAGTCAAAACTTCAAAGGGAACGATTTCCAGCTCCATAAAAAGCCGATTATTTGGCATAATGTCCAAATATGGGCATACAGGCCTTTGAATGTACAATTTTCATCTATAAACATTCATCAATTATATAAAGTAATTTTTGTGGTTTTTATGTGCAACGATTATAGATAAAATTGCAGGAGCGGTCTTTCCTCTAGAGTGCTATTAATGTTGTCAGTGGTAATGATATAGCCAGTCCCACTTCCTGAGTCTGTGCTTGACCCATCTGTGTAACAAGTAATCGTCTCGGTATTAAAATTCAGTGTTGTTTGCACTAGGAGTTGTTATGTTAAGTGCCATTCCAGAATCAATCATGGTTGGTATTGATAGATCTCTCGGCTTTCCATCCCAGGTGAACATGGCTATTTGAGTTTTACACTGTTTCTCTATCGTGTTGATAGTTTTGCATATTCTGTCCCAGATGATATATAAATCATTTCCTTTCGTAGAGGGCCCACATCATCTGCAAATACCTGCAGGTAACTTGGTTATCTTTCATAGCTGTACAAGCAAGGAGATTATCGACTACCAGGTTCCATAGGAATGAGGGAGTATGCCTCCTTGGGAGCACTGCCTCCTGATCCGAACCCGAATTATCCTTATGATTTATAGTTACGGTAGTTAGTAGCTAATCACTAATCAACTAATAACTATAAAAAGGTGTTCCCCGACAAAAATGAGAATAAATTAAATCCGGCAATATTTTAATGAATCATATTTTCTGAAAGAATTGTCAAGTTATTACTTATACTTATGTATCTTTTTCAGGAATAACTGCACAGAATTCAGCAGATGTTTTCGAAATAAATCTTCCAAACGATCATGACCTGCCAAAGGATGACCTGCCCATCGAGTTTGACGTTGAAAACACAGGACTGGACAATTCTGTCGAGCCAGCCCCCTTACCCCAACATGAGATTTTGGCTCTAAGATTGCTTGCTATGAGCAAACAGATTTCAATGAATCTGGTCCCTGAGTTACGCGAGTCAGGAGGCTCTAAATCAGAAGCTGAGCTGTCTAAGTGCACATCAATCATTAATTCGATGCTCGCAAGCGTTGGGGTAATTGTCTATAATTTGCACATTGTAACTGTAAGGTTTTCTATAATTGAGCAATCAGTTGTCAATGACTAGACAATATCATGTACTTAAAGTTTTATAAAGGTCAATTGAAATCTTTTAAAACACAGTGCAGTATGCATTTGAAATACAAATTTCAAGACTTTGACCGAAGTGAACATATTGTCCTCTCCTAATATCGTTTGGTTTCTACAATCTACATAGAATTATAAAATCTAGATAGCTCATAGCTTATGCTAATAATCTTCATTGTCGAATTATTCTTTAATTATTTGTGTCTTTTTAAAGCTAAATGGGAGTTTGATGCTGGAATTTTGAGATTTTCGAGAGCAGCCCTTACTTTTGCAAATTGAATGATATGTAAAATCGTTTCAGGAGATGACTGCAAATCAACTGAGAACGAAAGAAGCCAATTAAGAACAACATCAGAAGAACCGACGACCAAGAACCGAACCGAGTCAAGACTGCGTTTCTGGAACTTTTCCGACGAACATCCCACACGTTTATTTATTCTAAATTGTCACGTGATCAAGAAAAATTGGTTACCTGAACTTTGTTACCTTGTTCAAGACTTCTTAAAAGCTGGCAGAATTCCCAGCACTTTTAAGACTAATAAGGCGGAGACGGGAGAGTGCTCCCAGTGATATGAAACTGTCAGCCAGCCTGTTACCACCGGTTAAATTATGGTGTTTGAATATGAACATGTGTAGTTGTTAAATGCTACCGACCAAGGGAAAAATTTGATCTTAATGAATAAAAAAGTACCACGTATTAATATTTTTAATAAGTACAGAAATTTTTATAATACTTTTTTATACGTTTACTACGTTTTTACCACTTTTATACGTTTATTACGTTTTTAGCAATTTTTATATGCATTTAAGGTTCAATTCATATTTTTGACTCTAAGTAAAAACTTTTAAAGCTTTTAGAAGTTTAGGTTTCACAGAACTGTGTGCATTTAACTATTATAAACGTACAAGCAGTCGTTCACATATTTTGGAAACTCCCTCCCCTCGGATGATTACGTAATATGTAAACGACTTCTAGCATAAAGTCTAAGTAAAGAGTTTGACTTTCTGTACCAAATTGTACCAACATGCTTTACTATAAACGTACGGCGCGAGAACATATTCTTGTCCAAAGTCTGACAGCCAACAACATGCGTAGCATTCCCTCAAGAGGGAATAACGTAATCGCCACCAATACAATCGACAAAGTACAAACATATTATATCGAAAATTTGGACAAAATTATTAATCTACTAAGAATTGTACAGTATACGAACCATGTTTTATCTGCACCAGCTTACGGCTAATCGAAATCTTATCTTTATATTACTTTACCTGAGGACCCCAGGCTATTATGTTCATTAACATAACCGAATAAAGATTTGGCGGAATGACAGGCTGAGCGCGGCCCAGTAAATCTTTACTAATATATAAGTTGAATCACGTAATCAGTGATCAGACCACTATACTAAGTACATACACTTACAAGTTACAATTACAGAATACAAGTCACATTCACATTTTACAATTTCTTGACGGATGTTACTCGTCTAATTTTCTTCGAAGTAGCGCGCGCCGCTTTCTTCTCGAACGGCACGAGCTTTACTGGGCCGCGCTCAGCCTGTCATTCCGCCAAATCTTTATTCGGTTAATGAACATAATAAGCCTGGGGTCCTCAGGTAACACGAGCTACGAAGTAGCGCGCGCCGGGCCAGATCATTAACAATGGTCAAACAATTTAACATACTTTAATTAACTTCTTAAACTTATTCCCACAGAATAACACTTCACTGAAATGATTTCTTTATCTAGTTAGGAGCTGTACTGAAGTTAGGGACCCGGACAGAGTGTTCACAAAACCTTACTGGGCCTTGACGGATGTTACTCGTCTAAATTTCTTCGAAGTAGCGCGCGCCGCTTTCTTCTCGAAATGTTAGGCCCGATGGCAAGAACTAGCTACGAAGTAGCGCGCGCCGGGCCAGATCATTAACAATGGTCAATACTGGGCCGCGCTCAGCCTGTCATTCCGCCGAATCTCTAATGAACATAATAGCCTGAGGTCCCCATGTGACAAAGAATTGGCACCGTCAATTATTAAGGCTAGTTTATGTTCGCTTTTCTTTACCTGGGGACCTCATCAGGCTATCATGTTCATTAGAGATTCGGCGGAATGACAGGCTGAGCGCGGCCCAGTAAGCTTTTCTCAATACATGATTGTCATACGTTGTATGACATTGTATCACGTGGTGACCCCCACTGTCGCTTCACTGTGGAGTTTCGACGCGATACAGGGGAGCCGCGCACTCGTGCGCGGCGGGTCATAAAACGTATGACAAGTATGACCCGCGCCGCGTACGAGTACAGGGTTCCCCTGTATCGTAAAAGCGCTAAAGGGGGTAGACAATGGGGCACGCGCTTGTTTCGGCGGTCGCGCGCTACTGCAAGCGAGAGGGCTCTGGTTAGAGCAATATTTGTATCACGTCGCGACGCATGAAGCTTGAAAAGAGCGCCGCGCGCAGGGACTGGTGTGCCCGGTAAAGTTCTGTCCAGTAACTTTTATTAAAACATGAAAGTGAAATCACTTAACCATTTTCATGACTTAAATTTCAAAAGCAAAAAGTTTAACTTTAATTTTGTATCAAAGTGTTGTATTTAAATTTAGCTTCGCGCGCGCCTTGTTGGTTATAAACCTACAAAAATTGTTAAATGATATCCGTAAATATTCAATATTGGTTGCACCGAAATCGAGACGCAATTCTTACGCACGGTTTTGTGGTTTATCAAAATAATAATACTACTTAATAACTTTTATTTGTCGCTTTCTTCGTCATTCGACTATACATTGTATTACTTACACCGAATGCTTTTTATATTTGACCAAAGAGCTAAGGATAGAGTTGAAGATATTGCAGTTATATCTGTGAATGAGATTGTGCAAGTTACAACTCTTGTCTTTAATGATGTTTTAAAGGCAGTTGAGGAACATTTAGTGCAAACACTTCATCACAGTATTGGTTTTGCACATGGAGTTTACTTGTTAAATTGAAATTTTTAGGATTACACCACTCCCTCCCCCATTTCTTCATTTCTTTAGTATATTAATTAAATTAATTAAAATTGAAATTTAAAAACACCACTATTAAGCGTACACTTTTACTCAGCAGTGTCACTACAACTAGTTTACAAAAATACTTTTAAAACTATATATCAAAAGCAAAATAAAGTTCTATGTATAAATTCGTTCATAAAACTTCCAAAAAGCTAATATAATTTAGATAAGTCAAAGAGAGGGTTAAAATTATTAATAAAACATTTTTGCTACCTCAGTGTCAGATAAAGTAAACAAATAAGTCTTCAGTGCGGACTTAAACGCCTCAACAGAATAACATTGTTTAACTGAGTCTGGTAGTGCATTAAAAACTCGTGGACCAACCACACTAAAACTACGATCACCAAAACCCTTGGTTGAACGATAAGGGACTATGAGCCTAACAGTGTGTCCATGGTGAGCATACTTAAACATATCTTGAAGGTACAGTGGCGCTATTCCATTAATAGCCTTAAAAGATAGGAGACATATTTTAAAAATCACTCTTTTAGGTATATTAAGCCAGTGCAATTTATCAAGATCATCGCCTAGGTGATCAAATTTATATTTTCCAGTTACTGCTTTTGCACAGGCATTTTGAATAAGCTGTAGTTGATGTATGAGGTACTTGGAGATGCCGTAAAACATGGCGTTACAGTAGTCCAAACAGGAAACAACGAGGCTATTAACAATTGTCTTAAGCTGTTTTGTAGTCAGCAGAAACCGTATCTTAGTGAGGTTGCGTAGTGTTAGGAAACATTTCTTCTTCAACTCAACAACATGGTTGCTCATAGTAAGCCCAGAGTCCATATGTATCCCAAGATTCTTAACTGTGCTCACAGTTATCTGCCATCCCTATATTCATCCTTATTATCCTTTCTCCTGATTCATTCACATGATTGTTACTATTATATATCATTTTCATTCAGTTTTAAGAAATTGGGGAGTCCTCATTCAGCAGTACCTGCATAACTTCGTTTAGTTCACAGTAGACATATTGGTCTTGGGTTATTTAGACAGTGCCCATGATACATAATCACCAAATCTTACTGGTATATACCCAAATCATAAGTACTTCAGTAAGCAGCCGTTCAACTTATGCATAATTCATGCACCAGTTGGTTGTAAGCCTATGCCTTGGTTAAATTTCTTTTTCAAAATTAAAAGTATTTTCTCATTATATAGTATGTGTAAGCCCCATCCTGTGGTTCAGCCGAGTTATGAGGAGAACCATGATTGAGGTTTAAACAAGGAATGGACCTGCAAAAAGATCTTGAATCTTGTAGGATACTCTTGGCGCGTACTGTTAACTTACAAAAAAAACACCAGGTTACACTCCTGTAGATCCCTCAGTTTCATCAGCCTTCATTGAACATGATTCATGCAGCATCGCAGCATCTCGAATTTGCCACATAACTTGCAAATCCTTTGTTTTGGCCAATTTTTAGTTGACAGGATATAGCAGGGATTCTGGTTGCAGCCCCAAAAATTATGCCCTGTAGCTGTATTCAATTTATCCTTAAAATCTTAAATATGCCTCAGTAAAAGTTCTATTCACAGAAATTTTTTAAAAATCCCCTTTGTTTCGAAAAACTCCCCTTTGTAACAATGTAATTGTGCAACCCACTTTTAGATGGTTATTCTGTTAGCAAGATCAAATTTCTATTAAACGCAAATTTAGACAAACAAACATTTTGTATATGCCTATGTTTATTGTAATTTTGTATTTATAGCTACATTTTTAGGGCAACGCCATGAAAGACCTATGCAAAGACTTGTGCAAACTCATTGTTCCAGCTTTGACACCAGCTTTGCACAAAGGACAAGCTGGTCGTATTGGTATAGTAGGCGGATGTGAGGAATATACTGGAGCCCCTTACTTTGCTGGAATAGCAGCTCTGAGGCTTGGTGCTGATTTGGTGCATATCATGTGTACCCCAAGTGCAGCTATTCCCATCAAATCATACTGCCCTGATCTAATGGTCATGCCTATCCTTTGTAAAGAAAAAGCTCCACAGTTCAGCAATTGGATCAAACGTCTACACTGCGTTGTTATTGGCCCTGGTCTTGGACGTGATCCGGAAACCAAAGATATTGTTTCCAAGTGGATTGAAATAATAAAAGAACAAAATATTCCAGTTATTATTGACGCTGATGGTCTTCATCTGATCACTGAGCAGCCTCACTTGATTAAGGGCTACAAAGATGCTATCCTTACTCCCAATATAGCAGAATTCTCTAGACTGTTTCATGCTATGAACAGTGAGCAGCCGCAGAAGCCTATTCTAATGCCTTCGGATATATCAACACTCTCCAAGGTATTAGAATGTACTATCGTATGTAAAGGTAAAGTTGACAAGATATCTACTAATGGAATTACTGTTGAGTGTGATGTGGAAGGCTCTAATAGAAGAGTAGGAGGGCAAGGTGATCTTCTGTCAGGTGCTCTTGGATTATTTGCTCACTGGGCAAAAGATTCTAAAGATTCACTGCCATGTTACATTCCATATCAAAATGTTGCTGCTTATGCTGCATGTGCTGTTGTTAAACGATCCAATTATGAAGGATTCCACCATGTTAAATCGGACAAGCTAAGCAGAGGAAGGTCAATGATAACATCAGACATGGTTGAACATCTCAATAAAGCTTTTTCTGATGTTTTTGGCCGGGGGTAATGTTTTAGATTCCCAAAACTCTTCAAAAGTTCAATTGTCTCCATGTTGTAACACGTTACTCGTTAGATAGGAAAAAGACAGTTATGACTAATTTGATACCTTAAAAGGAAATTTGTTTTAAAACTTCTAACTTATTATCTCGATTCTTTTTTCATATCATTTTTTATTGAAAGATCCCTTTGTTTAGTTATACTCCTTCATAATGTTCATCTAAGCTTGATGAATTTGTAATTCTCTTGCAAGGATAAATTTATAAAACATTACGAAATTTAATTTAGATTTTATGTTACATGTATTGTGTATTTACTGTGTAAATCTTAAAAGTTTTTAAAGATGATAAATAAATAATTGTTCATTTTCTGCGTAATGTATGAATTTTATAACAATAGCGTTTGATATTTCAGTGTTTGTAATTTCTTATTTTTGACAAATATTTATCTGTTATTTCTTACTGTGTTTCATAAAAAACTGTTGTTTACTGTGTGAAAAAATATGATCATATTTTGTCTGACTTAGAAATGCATTATCATAAAGGCCAATTTAAACTTATGAAACATACTACTGCTTCAAGATGCATAATGCAGGTACATCTGGTCCAAACTAATAATCCTGTATGTGTAAGACTTTAAGGAGTATACAGTGCAGTGACTGCTTATGTGTCAAATGATATCTGAAATTGTAATCAGTATATATAATATCTGGACGTGTAAATAATGTAACGGTTTTCAATTATTTTATTTAGATAGTGTGACTTTGGTGAAATCCAATAATTATTCCTGACGATTGACATGTTCAGATATAGCTATCTAGCAAGTCTACCTCACAAAGGGCGCACGAAGGAGTATTTGATATCATGAAAACATTGCCCCCTCATGCGAGGAAAATAGATGATCTTACTAGAGACTATGGTGTCGATCCCAAGGTTTGCAATTTTAAAAGTACCTGCTTTTTTGTCTTCATTTGGTAAATCAAGCGATATGGTCATAATTAATGTTTCTTTGATAAATGATAGCACATTTACAAACTTAAAGCTGTCAGTTAGCTTACAGTTCTGATTTCCCAGGTTGGCTTATCTCAAAGTGAAGTAGAAGTATTGCAAAAGAAATATGGACCAAACCGTAAGTGTATAATCCGGATTTAGTGGTTATTCAATTCTTTGATAATTGCTCTTTCCGTAATTAACTTAAAATATGTTACAGTGAAAAGCTAAACTAGTCTTGAGCTTGGTACCAGTTGCTCCCGCATGTGACAAGTTATTTCTAAAAAACGCTTATTTCTAAAATGATTAAATCCATTTCAGAACTTCCTGCTGAAGAAGGAAAAGCATTGTGGATATTAATCCTCGAGCAGTTTGACGATCTCTTAGTTAAAATTCTCATCTTGGCTGCCGTCATTTCATTCGTAAGTGCTTTGTACATTTTAACCTAAGCTGCTGCATGATCGGTATATTGATATTGTTTGATGGTGCCATAAAAATAAATAAGTTTTTTATAAGATAATCGTTTTATTAAATTAAAATTTCGAATTAAGACTAAAGAGCCCTTGTTTATTATATAAACTGTGTTCCTTGTTAGAGTCAGTGTAAATAATTATTCCTTACACCCCAATTCCTAAACCAGATCCTGGCCTTGTTCGAGACCGACGAGAATGAAAAAACGACAGCATTTGTAGAGCCCCTCGTAATCGTGACCATTCTGGTTGCCAACGCAGCTGTAGGGGTGTGGCAGGTACGTTCAGATTTCATGTTTCTACATTTTGAGTAGGCCTGGTCATTGAGTAGGCCTGGTCAAGGTTTCAAGTTTCGGGGTTATTTCTTTTATCTACTAGACTCATAATTCGGTATAGCTTGGAATGATATCCCTATTTACAAATTCCCGCCAGTAAGTCTGCGGATCATAGCTTATTCTCAAGGAAATGAAGCCAGAAATTGCCCCGCATACCAAGATATTGGGATACGTTTTCAGTCATATCTGTAGCCGAAAATAAACAATACATCGGGTAATCACCGAGCTTGAAAATGATCTGCTATCAGAGCAGAGCATAACCACCCATATCTCCATCACAGGAAAAGAACGCAGAGGATGCTATTGAAGCGCTCAAAGAATACGAGCCTGAAATAGCTAAAGTTGTCCGCCAAGGCAAGGCTGGCGTTCAGCGCATCCGTGCCGCCAACCTCGTGCCTGGTGACATTGTTGAAGTTGCTGGTAAGCTACTTTAAACAAACTTCCCATTGTTATCCAATAAGTTTACAAACTTTAAGTTTGGTAAATTTAGCTTTAATAATGTATTCAATAACATATCTCACATTCTTTATCCTATATTTGTACGCTATTAAGCTCTGGACTAATCAAGATGTGCGTGATTAACATAACTGGCAGAAAATTTCGACTGTGCGAGCTGTACTAATATGAATTGTACTATTATATATGCTTTGACGTTCAGTTCAAAGATTGCGAAAGAGATAAAAATACGCATTACATCATGATAACTTACGTTGTAAATGTTTTGTAGCATTTTAATGTAGCAAAATGGTTACCAATAAAGTTTCTAAAGATATAGATGTAGATTAGAACGGTAATTCCAACTTAAAAAATAGGAGTCTTTTAATACTACATTGTCAACTAGAAGGTTGTTCCAAATTCCAATGTTCCATTTGCTCATCTCTCTTCTATTGTCGAACACGAGTTGAATGTATGAACACTGTAGAGTTTTACAATAGGACGCCCCTCCCCGTTATTAGTTCTTTGTAGTCACGTGACGAACCTTGACCTCACTATTGGTTGCCCGTACGCTTCTGTTTACAAGTCATTCGCATTCAGCCCCCGATCTTATTTCTTACATAACAGTCGACATCTATACTACTTAAAAACGACATGTTGGTGATGAAGTGCTGGGGTTGTTTCCAGTCAAAAGCCAGATTTCTCGCAGCACGTGATAGGAAAGCAGCTGTTCATGCACTGTAACTATTCATTACAAATAGACACTTACTTCACCATTTAGCAAGCCTCGTGTGTCAAATCCTCCCTTGGCTCTGCTCCCCTCAAACCAACCATCCTCCAAGTCCATTGGCTCAGCTCTCCTGCATCTCCCCTCAAAGTGCTCAAACCAACCATCCTCCCTTGGCTCAGCTCTCCTGCATCTCCCCTCAAACCAAACATCCTCCCTTGGCTCAGCTCTCCTGCATCTCCCCTCAAACCAACTATCCTCCCTTGGCTCTGCTCTCCTGCATCTCCCCTCAAACCAACCATCCTCCTTTGGCTCAACTCTCCTGCATCTCCCCTCAAACCAGCCATCATCCCATAAAACAGCACCCCTCACCCTGTTTCAGTTTTACAACCTCCACTCATTATAGCTGGCATCTTACCTCCATGTATATAACCTCATTAAGGGGGAGTAATGTGACCCATGTACATTACAAGTCTCGTCTCTCCTGATCTCCCTCGGTAGTTCTACAGACGTCACTCCATGTAATGTTAAATGTACCCGGGGACGGGGCCAGCTATTTTTAGAGTTAATGAGTTCCCTGAGCTGGGGTTGAGATGGGATGACTTGGGTTTCTTTGTCAGGGGATTTAGAGGAAAATTATTTCTGTTGGGATTCATGATATTATATGATTTATGTTTTATATTCAGTTTGACATACGATGAGGGAATTTCACGGATGTCATTACGGAGTAGGAATTAAAATTTGCATTCGGCTGTTACAAGGGGAACGACAACTCAAGCTAAAATTATTTACCTCCATGATTGGCGTAACGATATATAATATTACCGTATTAGTCGTACAATTATTCACTGTTATTAAATATTAATACACTGCAACTGGCACACAGAATTTTGTAAATTTGTTTCAAAACGTTCAAATTATGGGTACCTGGTACATGTTCGATTTGCTTCGGCCGTCGTGCGTGTGACCGCACTCATCTCCAAGAGGGGATATATCTGTAACTTATAGTATATCGGCAACTTAATAAGTAATATGACCTCATGTATAAATTGTGTATCATATTAATTTCTATATAAATATGATCATCTAGGAGACACTCTGAAAGACCTTCATTGGCTGCCTATTAGTTACAGAATTCAATATAAGTTATTGCTTCTTGTCTATAAATGTCTTAATGGTATGGGACCAGATTATTTAAGTGATATGTTTAAATATGCCAATTATAATCATCTTATCTATTTGACTGAACCAAGAGTATATTCACAGTATGGAGAAAGATCGTTTCAGAAGGTTGGCCCTAAATTATGGAATGAGCTGCCTCTTGAAATTAAGAATTGCATGTCACTGGAATCTTTTAAAGTGTATCTGAAAACGTTTCTTTTTAAACGTGCTTTTGATATTAATTAATTTACTACTTTTTCCACGTTTCTACTGTTAAGTGCATACCCTTAACCTTGTAATTTAGTGTATCAAGTCTTTACAATTTTCTATGGTTTGGAACCTAAATGTGGATTGCTTTTCAGGTTTTCTTGTATCCTGACTTGTTTTCGTGGCACACCTGTGCATTTTAAGTTGTTGTGCCACTATAATCTATAAGTTTAAATTATTATTATTATTTATTAATTTTACTTTCAAACATTATAATGGAGTTTGAAAATCATACTCCGTGTACTACTCAATACTCATCAGACAATGATGTTGTGTTTCTGAATACAAAAGTAACCAGTAACCAGTAACCAGTTACCAGTAACCAGTAACCAGTAACCAGTTACCAGTTACCAGTAACCAGTTACCAGTAACCTGTAACCACTACAGTTATATTAGTTATTACCAGTACAGTAACCGATATAATAGTTGTTTGATATCTTACATAGCAATAATACATGTTGTAACACGTGATGGTGGAATTAACTAACGGTGCACGAGAAGACCACCTTTATGGTCTACAACATTGGGAATATTGGAAATAGTATCTGTCCTGCTGGGTTGTTTCTCGATTAATCAACAGTTCTCGATAATGTCGCAAAGCTTACATCCCACTCTCTCTCTCTCTCTCTCTCTCTCTCTCTCTCTCTCTCTCTCTCTCTCTCTCTCTCTCTCTCTCTCTCTCTCTCTCTCTCTCTCTCTCTCACCTCTCTTGCACCTTGCCAGTCCCGGGGGATTGTTATTTGTTCTGGAATGAAAACGTAATCAGGAACTATTCAACTTCATTTGTCGCGCGGCCAAGTTTATTATCTGTGGGCCTCTGATTTATATATAATATATAAATATATATATGAGTTATGTGCTTTATAATAGTATATATCAGCGGAATGTACAATCAAAGATAGCTTTACAGTTTACACAATAAATCTAGCCACTTATAATGTATCAATCATAGCTTTTGCGGTGGTCTCCACATTTTTCCAGGACTGTAGTGACTAGTAACTAGGTAAAACTCACGTACGTCATTATAATTAGAAATGATAAATTGAGAGTCCTGTGATTTTAATGTGGGATCTCGCGAATGCTCACAAGTGTGACGATATTTAAAATCGTAATTCTGAATATCAAAGCTAACTCTCGGCCATAATCTATGCAATTATATCGGACGTGGTTTCTTATCAAAGGAGCGTGAGTGTACTTTGATACAAATGCATAATTGCATATTTTATTTTGAATATTGGAGGTTTAAAACGGTCACTCTGTGTTTCTGAAGAAAGTTCAACACTTCAAGTAGTATCAAGATTCAAGTAGTATGCAAAGTATGCAATCAAAATTGTGCCAAGTGTGCTCGTCTTATTCAGACATTCAGGTAGCCCAATATAGGCGGTTGATCATAAAACAATTTTAGTCTGAAGCCGTATTCATAATATTAATCATCAAATCTAACTTCTATTTTATGATGCATCAGGATCGGACATATTAAATATTGGTTACTAGTTCACTATACTTCTTTATGACTCGCTAGTCGCTAACGTAATGTTACCGATGATTGACGTTTACTTCAGTCAGGCGTTTATTACACCTCCTTGTAAAAGCTTATTGTTTCAGGACATCACATAAGGTGTAATCTATCCCTGGAGTAGCTCTGTAGTAGTAAAAGTAATATAACTGTAGTAAAAGTAATATAACTAACTGAACACCTTGAATTGTAACGTTTTTTTCTTCTTCTAAAGATTGTACGAATGACGTGTACTATATCCGGTGGTATAGGTTAGTGGCGGCTCTGTTAGAAGGTTGGTTTGTAGCCAGTAAGGCGGTCTTGGTTTGTGTCCAATACCCGGCCCCTTAGTTCAGTACTTAGTGTACTAATGGCTAGACTTGGGGTTCCTTCAGACCTTGGGAGGGGGAGGCGGTTGTCATGACAGTGCGGTGTAAGTCTTATTACCGTTGTCTTGGTTACCTTGGACCTGAGTCGTTGGAAGTGTATAAAATAAGCTGATCACGTGACTTCAGTACACTGTATGAGTTCCGCATCTGCCCGGGAATTAGTGGTCACTATTTACTTGGTACCGACCCGCACGTGCTCTTATCCCAGTCTTCTCATTGGCTCTTCATTAACACGTGACCGTTTACTATGCTGTGGTTGGTCGTTTCTCTTGCTTCATGCGGGGTTGATAGATTGGCCCGATGGGCCATTAGCTAGTCCGTTATAGAGTTAGAGAGAGGTAGCCTGGTATTTAGAGGATGCTACTGGACTCGGATAGGCCACATTATAGCGTCCTCTGCCAGCGTGTGGTCAATTGCGCTCTTAAAACGAATTTACAACCTGCAATATAATCACGTAGCCAACAAGTGCTAAGATCAACATGTTACGTTTAAGATATTATCTAACTCGATTCTCATCTTCTCAAACTCTAATAAATCAACAGTAGATTTGGTCGTTTAAATCACAGCAGATAACATGCCCCCCTCTACACAGATAACTTCTTCTTGGTATTATCTACAATAATAAGGACTTGGTGAAGGGGAGATTATAATAAGAGGCTAAAGCTCTGGTCGTGTATTGTAATGTAGATTTAAATTCGATCTACGCACAGAGCTGAGGGGCTCATTATTCAGAGTATTTAAAAATATGGGGTGTAAAATTATTATGTACATATACGCATTACGTTACGTATTGCATTTTATATAAGCTAAAATTAGCATTATAGCCGAGTGCGTTGTTCGGGGATGTGAATTATTTATTGGGCGGAATTACTTAAATTCTGAATATGAGTCTCGTACGCCGCGCCGGGTCTCGTTACTAGATTTACTCAAGATACGTAGACCACAAATTATGGGTTTCCGATTAATGTTTTAAAGCCATTCCTATATTAACCTATATCCTGCATTGTTGACTGTATTAGTTACTGGAAGTCTTAAAGTAAGAAAGTAGATTCGCCGCAAAGTTAAGATTAGTCTTAAAACGGCAACGGTATTGTAGCGTCGGCATCTGATGACAAACTTTAGGATTAACTTTTGTATGCCTTCTGAATCAATCCGGTTTATTCTAAGAATTTGGATTCCTGGACCACCATGATACCATACTATATACCACATCACATACCATACTACTCACTCCACCAGTTCAGATTTAGCACTCTATCTCAAACACCCAAGTGGTGGGGATATAATCAATAATGTACACTAGTTCATATTTAATACCCCATCTCAAACAACCTCGTTTGGATTTAGTACTCTCCACATCTCAAACAACCTCGTGTGGATTTAGTACTCTCCACATCTCAAACAACCTCGTGTGGATTTAGTACTCTCCTCCTCACCCTGTGGTTGAGATGTATCATATAATGTACTTGTTCTCCTCTCTACATCCCCTCAACTAATTACAGTATATCATGTCTACTGTACGATTATAGTATATCATCCTCACTAATGACTTGACAGAGGTGGTGTGTTCTAATTGTCCATTAAGTTGGGGACCCGCTTACAAGACAGCTCCAAATTATATTGTGATAAAATATACCCAGATCAGGGTCGTCTGTACTGGACCTAGTCAAGCGTTCTATGGTCCTGTTAGAGGTGACACTGTGTGACCCTGTGTGTGACTCTGTGTGTGACACTGTTGATATGTTAACTCGTGTTGATCATGGTAAATGGAAAGGAGATGAAAGGAAAAGTGTTACAGTTGAAACGCATTATAAGTGTCTGTATTAGCAATACAATGGTAGACTGGTAGAGAATTGTTGAAAGATCTAACAGTATCTCCGGAGAATGTGATGTACGTCATGGAGGATTGGAGGGCTTTGTTAAATCTGGTTTGGAATGGTCCGGAGATAATGGGTATAATGTTACCTTTATTAGTTGGTTGGATTCTAGCATTCTTTTCTTTTAAAGCCACACCACGTACGTGCAATAGAACTGCAATTATTATCGCTGTAGAAATATGAGGGGAAAAGTATGAGGCGAATGTTCTTCGTAGCTATTTCAAATGATTAAGATTTTAGTTTCAAATTTATCATCAAATTATGGTATATTTGTTACATTTTATTTGCTACATTATAAAATGTCAATACTTACTACGCTACAAACTACAAAGTTGCTGACAGCTACAAGTAATAACCGTACTATTTTCCGTTTTATTTTATTTGTCTAGATTTACAATTGATAGTAATTTACCGGTCGAAACTGGCAGATTTTCAGAATGTTTGCATATTTTCGTGCACTCATAGACAACATGAATAAAACCTCGTAAAATACCGCATAACTGATTACTGTCACGTCCGCGTCGTACAATAATAATAACGCTAATAAATTAATAAACCGTTAATGACCAACATTCAAGCTCAACATAATACATTTCGTATGAAAGGTTTTACCATCCGACCCAGCTGTTTTACCATAAATACAAGGGCCCGTATCACAGAGGTGCACTGCCTCCCTGGAGTCAACGATTACAGGCTCCGTAATTCATCTCAGCCCATGGTCTGCCCTCCCCTGGTCTCTGTACTATCATACAATAGACACACGACCGAGACTACGAGACACACAATAACCAGTAATATAGACTGCTCATATGTCTAATTGTGCTGAACTTTACTAGTTAGTGCACATTATCAGCACATGATGTACTAGAGTAATATGACCTATAATATGCACTATAATATGCACTATATTACATACCCCCACAACAAGTACGCTCTCGTTTCAATTCTTTTCAACGATAAAAATTGTACTAATGATTCATCCTGGACATCTGCGACTGTGGCTATGGTCAATGCTTCCAACATAAGAATTCCCTGCATCCAGGAAGGAGGTTGTCATGGCAACCATCCTCCCGAGTCTCCTGCACCTCAACCTAACTGGGCTCTTAATTTCCTCCCCAATCTAATCAGCTGCACTTTCTACTATCTGACAACATCCTCTCTACAGCTCAACGTTAATCACGTTTAAAAAGTGTGTTACCCTGGTGTTAGAGGGCCAGTGTTTAGTCGCCCCCTTTATAATAGTGGGATAGTGGGGTGGTGAGTGGTGTGTCGGCTCCCCCTGACGTCACAGAGCCCACCTACGCGTTACTGGTACCCACATATGTTTTGAATATTATACCAAGGTTTGGGAAATATTTGAATACGTTTTATTTCTCGTAATATGGCCGGTAATGGGCGGAGGTAGAGTGAAAGCAGTCGATGTAACGTGTATGAATATTAAACTGCAGGGCTGGACACGTGTGTGGATGTGTGTTGGGTTGGGTTACCAGGAATAAATGTTTTCATTTACTTCTATTGTAATAAAGATAAATTTTAGAGGTCTATGTGTAGCCAATTGGTTGTTAAATATAATATAAAAGGCCTTGCATCGCTGATGACTTACAGTAAAGTTTCGAACTCTGCACCAGTTTAACCTAAATTTATCCAGATGTTTAAATTTCACCGAGAATAAGTAAGTCTAAAATTAGATGCAGGAAGTAATTATATTCTAAGTTTCCAGAATTTAGGCTCTGGTTTAGCTTTTCCGGAGTTCAAACTTCAATGTTACTGCACAGTATGAAAATAATTATTCTACGTACTGCAGACAGACTGCAAAGTTAAATGGTTTGTCAGAAACATATCAAGCTCAATAAATCTCATAAATGAATAAAGCTCTAAAAGACGTAAAACCCCCGAATATATTATAAGTTAGTATCATAGAATAAGTATTAATGAAACCAAATGGTAAAGCTATAAAACCCCCCCTAGTGAATGGATGAAGCCGAATAATAAAGCTCTAAAACCCCCCTCCTGAGAGTGTTGAACTTGATCCAGTGACAGGAAGTGTTACACTTGGGAGTGTGGTAATGTGTTTAATAATATCACTGATTAATGAGAACCAGTAGTAGTCACCAGTGGTGCTTTATTCTCTGAGTCCTAATGTTCGTACTTCTCTCTATCATCATCACATTGTCATGTCAGAGAGAGAGTGTGTGTCTAATAGCTTTCTGATTTGTATTGAACTGGGACAAGACCCTGTAAAATGGTGTTAACAGTTAAGTTTCTGTTGAATACATTGATATGACATGTTCAGACTTGACTTCAGGACACTCCTTCAGCTTCGTTTATATCCAATTATTTTAATCAGAATCTGTCCACTGAGTATCGTTCCGTAGAATTATAACTTGACAACTGAGTGACGGTGTAATGGTGCGATCTGGTCTAGACAAATTTACCTCTCATTTGACTATTTGACATAAAGCCCGATCAAGACAATAGGTATAACCTGATGATGATCTTGATTATAAGCAGCTTAATTAGCTGTTACCCATACTTCACAGTGTCTAGAACTTGTCGCATTGCATCTTGTGTAGGGTCAGTACCAATAAGTTGGGGGTGGTAACTATCATGTTGTGGAATTGAAAATAGCGGTATGATATAAGCTAGGAGCAGGAAATGAACTAGTCGTATAAGATAGGCTATCTCAAATTTCCAGGTCTTGATAACGAATATTTTCAGTGGGAGACAAGTGTCCGGCTGATATCCGGGTTATCGAGATACTGTCTTCTTGTATAAAGATAGATCAGAGTATCTTAACAGGTTTGTTGCTTTTTTAACATGCTCTCATAACTTGATTCAAAATATCGACCAACAGGGAAATTGCCAAAAGATTAAACCTAACCACGTTTATCACTAATTATTAACTTACCAAGTCATCAACTAAACTAAAAATTTGAATGTTAACCATGTGAATTATTTAAAGCTTAGTCAGCTAATAATCTACTCTCTCTCAGGCGAGAGTATGAGTGTGATGAAGACAACAGAGTCTGTTCCCGACATACACGCCGTTAACCAGGACAAAGTCAACATCATCTTCTCCGGAACCAACGTTGCCAGTGGTAGATGTCAGGGTATCGTGGTCGGAACTGGACTCAATACCTCTATTGGTTAGTGTGATTTTACTTGTCTCGTGTCTCAGTGCGAGGGGTTATAACTCTTCAAATGATGGTTACAGTGTTCTTGCAATTGTTTAAAGATGCGATCTGTAGATAGCTGATGCATCATACCTTTTAAAATTTGAATGAAACTGTAAGACTATAGCCCCGTCATTAGTTGTTTTGACCACTAGGAATGTATTTTACTGTCCATGTCAAGTAAGCAGCATTTAAAGGTTTCTATTAAATTTTGGAATAAATACTGTAAATCCATCTAATTCATTTCTGATTTTTAAAACGACAGTTTCGTATACTTGTAACTACAATGTTTGTCTTTAAAGTAGAAGTGTTTTTCACGTTGTTTCCCTCCATTCCCTCCATCTCCACCATTCACCTATCTCCTCCTCTCGTTGGAAAAGCTGAATTACAAACCAGCTCCCGGACCTCACATATCTGGAATACCGCTGGGTAGTGGGTGACAGGGAGGTTGGTGTCTGTCATCACTACACTGCCCGGTCTCTAGACACCCGGCCTTCAACCGTTTTAGTGAGAGTCACGTGATCCACACACGGCCTTGTGACGGCGTGTTACAGTGTAGTATCACGTGGTGTAACACACACGGCCTTGTGACGGCGTGTTACAGTGTAGTGTCACGTGGTGTAACACACACGGCCTTGTGACGGTGTTACAGTGTAGTGTCACGTGGTGTGACACACACGGCCTTGTGACGGCGTGTTACAGTGTAGTGTCACGTGGTGTAACACACACGGCCTTGTGACGGTGTTACAGTGTAGTGTCACGTGGTGTGACACACACGGCCTTTTGACGGCGTGTTACAGTGTAGTGTCACGTGGTGTGACACACACGGCCTTGTGACGGCGTGTTACAGTGTAGTGTCACGTGGTGTGACACACGGCCTTGTGACGGTGTTACAGTGTAGTGTCACGTGGTGTAACACACACGGCCTTGTGACGGTGTTACAGTGTAGTGTCACGTGGTGTGACACACACGGCCTTGTGACGGCGTGTTACAGTGTAGTGTCACGTGGTGTGACACACGGCCTTGTGACGGTGTTACAGTGTAATGTCACGTGGTGTGACACACACGGCCTTGTGACGGTGTTACAGTGTAGTGTCACGTGGTGTAACACACACGGCCTTGTGACGGTGTTACAGTGTAATGTCACGTGGTGTAACACACACGGCCTTGTGACGGCGTGTTACAGTGTAGTGTCACGTGGTGTGACACACACGGCCTTGTGACGGCGTGTTACAGTGTAGTGTCACGTGGTGTTACACACACGGCCTTGTGACGGTGTTACAGTGTAGTGTCACGTGGTGTTCCACCCACGGCCTTGTGACGGCGTGTTACAGTGTAGTGTCACGTGGTGTGACACACGGCCTTGTGACGGCGTGTTACAGTGTAGTGTCACGTGGTGTTCCACCCACGGCCTTGTGACGGCGTGTTACAGTGTAGTGTCACGTGGTGTTACACACACGGCCTTGTGGCGGTGTTACAGTGTAGTGTCACGTGGTGTGACATTAGGAGCTCAGGAGTGTGTCAGTGTGACACTGTGACACACACATGACCTTGTCACGTGGTGTTACATGAGAGTGTGACACATGTTTCACAGTGTGTATACAACTATTCAGGTAGAATGTGGGCTAGTGTATTGCAGACACTGGATAGGGTGTGATTACACATTACACAGGTACCGGTATGGAGCTGTATCAATATTCATTATCATCCTCGACCATGTTCATACCCTACCACATTATAATGTTAAGCAAGAGCAGGCTTTGTCTTTAAGTTTTGTTAAATACAATGTAACACAGTATATATAATATAATAGATGCATCTTATTATACCCGGTCAACTAGGCACATGTCAGATATGATGGCTAATTGTAAGGAGGTTGGGAGTCCCAGAACATACATCTGCTATACTTCTCTGAGCTTCGTAGAGTACTCCAGTCTCCAGGAACCAGTGAGGAAACCATTTGACCTTCCTTGCTCTGCGTGGTGGATGCTCTATGTTTGGTTCATTTCGGTGTGATTTCCGTCGGAGCTTATGTACTGTGACGTATAATAATTGCTAACTGAGCTGGAAAGTGACTTCAGGAAAATGTAAGCGTCATCTTTAATTGCTGTAGTCTATTATAGAAAAGAAGCAAGCCGAAGTATCTGGATATAGCTGATCGTTATAATACAGATCACACCATAATAAGTTCACTTGTGACGATTCTACCACTTGGAGACTGTGCTATGTATATTGTCTCATATCTGCAGTTCTACTGTCCAGTGTGGAATGTCGGGGCCCATCTACCAGCTACCTGTGTAGATGGTATAGGGTACCATGTAGCAAGGTACCATATAGCAAGGTACCATGTAGCAAGGTGCACACGTTATTATGTAGCAAGGTGCACACGGTAACATTATAATCTTACATTATATCTCCGAGTTAGGGCCAGATAGGTTCTACACATTTCCACTCCTTCACTCTTGCGCACACTTTACATGAGTCATGTGGTTACCACTTACCACGTGACGTCAGTCCTCACATTTGATTGGTGGTCCGTGTTCCAATGAGACGCACTTTTGAGTTCATTAAAAGCAGAGAATATGGGTCACGAACAATGAGTAGTCGCAGAAGCTGTACACAAGCTTGAACTCTGAAGCTTTGTGATCTTGGAACACATTATAATAGCATTATTAAGCGGAAGATCTTCCGTAGCAGAAAAGTTAAATCCGGTCACAACCTGTCTCGAAATATCTATATATAATATCGACCATTATAAGAACAGAGGGTCATCTTCATTTACATTTATAAGTTGGAGCTGAGATATGAAAGAAGTCGATAATAAACTCAATAAGATCATTAAATAATAAATATTGCTGTAGTGAAATTAAAAATAGAAGGTGCCTTTTTATTAGATTAGTTATCTTACAATGATTATTAATCTTCGACAAAATGGTTCTTATTTCTCTTCATTATGAATCAAACAAATTCAATTATCCGTTTAAATTATTGTAATATATATATATATATTATATATTGGTGTCTCTGCAAAATTTATACGAATAAATAAGTTTCCCTTCAAATTGGCACACTTTAGTATTGGCTAATAGGTTATGTTGCTATAGGATCAAAGCAATTAAATGTTTTAAACGCTAATACGGCATATGTTCTTCGGTAAATAGGTGGTTTTAGAGCTCATAAAGAGCTGGAAATGAATCCTAATGAACGTCCTGTAACGAGGCCTGATAACGAGGCCTGATAACGAGGCCTGATAACCTACACTCTTATACAGCTACAGGCAGTATGTTTAATAAAATATGACTGATTGCTGATGATAATCTTATTCGCAGGTAAGATCCACAAATCCATCTCGGACCAAGGCAACGACGTGAAGACTCCTCTTGGAAAGAAACTTGATGAGTTTGGTGAGCAACTGTCCAAGGTTATCTCTGTCATCTGTGTAGCCGTGTGGGCCATCAACATCGGTCATTTCTCCGACCCCATTCATGGCGGTTCTTGGATCCGAGTAAGTTTGATTTTGTTTTGTTTTTTATTATTAACTTTGTTTGGAGCTAATTTTTTGTCGGTTGGTTTATTTAGTCCCTTTGTGTTCAAATTACATAATATATCCTAATATAATAGACATAATATGTTATTATCTTGTATTATGTAACAAATTTTAGGCATATTTATGTGTATATAATATATTTATAGTATAAAATGTACAATTTATAATTGCTCCTCCAAGTTCTTTTAATAGTTTAATCAATGGTTATATAATGATATATCTAATTCCTATTATATAATTAACAATAACATCTAAACCATAGTTACGTAAAACGCTCTACTATACTTATAATAGTGACCTTTATCTCGTGGGCTTTATCTCGTGGGCCCAGCCTCTCTTAAAAAAGTAAAAAAGAAAAAAATAGTGACGCCACTTTTCTTCGGCTTCGCCATACTATAATTATGCCAGCGTCTTTTAGGAGTGTATAACGATGAAATATGAACTATTCCGACCAAGTGCCTTTGTACACCATGTCCGTTCTATACCAGTTAAACTACACGATAATAATATATCAGACTGGTTTAAATGGAATTATATCAGACTGAAAAATTTACTTTTTATCCACAACGGATGTCCACTGATTAACAAACTTGACTGTAAAAGTCTACAAGTACCCTAACAAGGAATTGCACTAACAACAACTTTTCTCGCAGGGAGCTGTTTACTACTTCAAGATCGCTGTTGCCCTGGCTGTCGCTGCCATCCCCGAGGGACTACCCGCCGTTATCACCACCTGTCTTGCTCTGGGTACGTTCCAGAACTTTCAGTCTTCAGTCGTGGTTCCATGAAAAGTGGACCCACAACTTTAGTGATGGATGGATCCGACCATGCGCATAGATGAAATTATACTTTGTTGCGTTAGTGGATCCATAAAATGTAAAGCAGTAATTGGATCTCAACTTTTTTCTTCCCAATGATCTGATGTATATTTTTAACTCGTTAGTAACTCTGTCATAGCAATTAGATTTACGTAGTAGCACGGTCCAATAGAATATTTAATCGTTCATTTAAATATTAAGTCGAGCTGAGTACCTTGTACAAGTACTGTACAGTTGGTTTCTAATATATACGTGAGGAGACCGAGCAAGAAAGGGAGGAGAGAGAGGAGAGGAATGTATTACCTTAACTGAACTAATGAGTTTAGAAAGAAAGAAATTCCAAACTCTCAATTTGAGAATTCTGATATTTAATTGTATTCAAGCTTTACATTATTGTAATAGCTCTGCACAAATTATCCATATTCAGACAGATCTGATCTCTAACGCTACGTAGGATTCGTGTAATTTTAACTTCTAAATTGAGCGCACCTGGAACGACGCAAGTAATGAACAAGACGTAATGGACTTGAAGTGCTCAGAAAGTCGTTTATTTCATAAAAATCCAAGAAAATTAAAGTAGATTCAGAAATGTGTCACATGTGTCATGGGATAACCACCACTAAAAACGTTGACTTAAAATGGAGCATATGAACTTAATCAGAACATTTCAGGAACCCGACGAATGGCTAAGAAGAACTGCATCGTAAGATCTCTGCCATCTGTAGAGACACTCGGATGTACGACTGTTATCTGCTCTGATAAGACCGGTACTCTGACAACTAACCAGATGAGTGTTAGCAAGGTGAGTTGGGGAGGGAGTGCACAGCCAACTCAGGGGGCCAGGGCCGCACCTTGTGTCATACCATTATAATTAGGGTTTAGAGGACTATGTAACTGTTACTCGGAGTAAAGTTGGTTGCGCTTTGCGGCTTTGCAGAACCCTGCTCAAGTTTAACTGAGGCGAGGGGTTTATAGAGTCATTATGTTCCACCCCACATATTGACATTGTCTAAGTTCACAGTAAACTCCACCCTTTACACACGCCCAATTACCCCTAACAAAAGCAAAAGTTATACACGAAATGTACACCTTACAAGTTACAACTGTGTTCAACTCTGACCCGTTGTGTTGGGCTCTCCTTTCTACCAATTACCAATACCACCTCCCCCTAACACACAATACCACACATAGATAACATTATCTGCCTCATCTCGCACGGTCTACCACGCTAACTACTATTATAATATTATGTAAATTTGAGCTCTGCATACGGACTCTTCATCTCCTAAATGGTCCTAGAAATCACAGATCTTGATTGCCAATTTGCATGCTATTTAGCTAGATGACTGTGTCCTGTTGTCGGAGATGGCTCCTGTTTATTGATGGTGATGACTCATGTTGGAACGCCCTCTACTCTACCCAGTAGACAAAAGAGGCCCTTAGCAGATCTAAGTAAAGTAGTTAGGTTGATGGGTCATTTACATTTTAGGGGGCTCCAGGGAGCATCAGAACTAGACGGGATGCTTTTATAATTCAAATGTTCTCCCTCGTCAGCAATTATGTGACTTGTTTAGACATATTACGCACCGTAAAACAATAGCATGACCGTGACATTTTCAATCATATCATGCGAAAAATTTCCACCCGAGTGAAAAGGCAATCGCATCGGTGTAAGTCATATAGAACTTCCTAATTGAAAAGTTGAGCGGACCTCACTGTAGATGTCTCATGGTCTAACATTTCAAAATAAGATATTGCGGTGCCGTGGCCCCTTCTCTTGGGTAACTTTATTTGGAAATTGCTATGATCACAGCAATCTCATATTATACATGTGGACATGTAGCGGGTGAAGAAGCCCAGATGGGCGCTCTGATTACAAAAGGACAGTGCAATAGATCAGGGCTATATAAAAAGGCTCCTTGTAGTATATTGAGTGGGTCAGATAGAGCTGTACATGGCATAATGTCCCCCCAGAAACGCCCGCCCCTTCCATCGCCCCTGTAATGTTACGTTGCAACGTGGTTTGAACTTTGAGTGTCTCTCATCTTATGCTATCTTCTCACTCAATTAACCCTCATTATTTCAGATGTTTGTGGTTGATGAAGTTACACCCGATGTCACTAAATTCGCTCAATACGAAATCTCCGGATCTACTTACGAACCCAAGGGCTCCATGTAAGTGTTCCTTTTACTCGTCAATATATTAATCTATTGGAGTTCTCCCTTACCAATATTATTGTATTTGAACGTTTTGTGCGTCAGTACAGCAATTCTATCACCTAGTACACTAAGTAAGCTATTAGGAATGATGTTAACAGTTAATGTTATCATGCGTTGAAAAACTCGGATTTTCTCTCTTTTAAATTATTACAAATTTCGTCGCCGCCTGTTGGCTGTTGGCCAACTTGGATAAAACAGTTGCCTCTATTTCTTCAAATGAGGCCAAAGCAAAAGGTGATCAATTTAAGAGTGTCTAGGTATAAATTGACTGCTGACAAATCATTAAGCAATGAAATGATTTCCAGTAACAGAATGTTATCCACGAAATTCTGTTAGATGTACAAATAAAGGCAAAGCTATCACTCAGAGTTCTTCAGAGCATCTGTCTTCACATTTAACAGTTTACTGTTGGCTAATCCGATTCAGATGTTAATTGTATTCCTGGTCAGTAATCGAGAATGTCATACAATTTCAAGAACCGTTTACCGGCGTGATCGACATTGACATATTCAAATAAATAATCCATATATTTCTACTTTTGCAAAAGTAGAAATCCAAAATTTTGTATAATTTCATGGGAATAGCCCTGACAGTAGTAAGTAAGGTTAATTGTTAAATGGTAGTATAGATCAGGAGCTGTCTAGCAAGCTAGTTTAAGGTTGGAAATGTGGTTAAGCTTTCAGCGGATGCAGATTGCAGATGATAAAGCTTACTTCAGGTTTACTTAGTGCTAACTTAGCTCAGACCATAGATACTAACACAAAGTTGCTGCATAATTGTCCATTAAATCTGTGGCAGTGAAAAATGAAGGCAGCAAACGTATTAAATGCATAAATGATAAAGCACTTATCGCTTATCTAGTTTAATTATCTAAACTTAATATATTAGATAGTGGATATTATATATAATGATAGGGCTTAATTCACCGTTATAAATTGATTACGGCTAATCGAAGCTATGGACAGAGCTCTTATGACACGATCTGATCCTGCCCTTTATGGGCACCCTTAATTTTATACACACCCGTGACCCAGTTATATAATATATTACACATTTCTGTACCTTTATACTTTTATAGAATGTACTAGAAGGTGCTAAAACAATGCTAAAATTGGTGCGGTGTGTGTAATAACTTGTAGGTGCCTTCTAAGTGTTAGTGTTATTTAGTAATGGTTGTTTGGCACGTGGGCAGTGTTCGTACTACTACTAAAGGTGTTTTACTTCCTTTTTCTACCGGTTCAGCAACATATATATAACCCAATTATTCCATTGTTTAATCAGTTACATCTTAATATATACTGTGTATTACACTTGAGCTGAGGGGAAGGTATGTTCTAAGCTAGCTCACGGGTTTAAGAGGAAGCTTCAAGGAAATATCCGCTGAGTAATGAAAGATAGTTCTGTTTTAAAACGTCGACACTGTAAACCGAATTTTAAGGAAATTTCAATTGGTACAAGATGTTCTGCACAAGTAATGTTTACAACACGGAAATTTCCTAAATTGTTCGGAGACAGTACATTAATTCTTTTAATTCGTATATATTAGGTCTATAGCGGCTTAAACTAAAGAAGCCACGCACCACTTTCAGACTCTCAGCTTGGTAATAATGCATAATTTCTTATTTAATTTACTCAAAACTGGGACGGGCATTTAATCTAAACATAATCAGCCACACAAGCAATGTTTTACAAAGGACTTACTTCTTGGATTGTCCTAAGACAAGACATTAATTTCCTGTAGTCCGTACCTTGGGTCTATAGCGGCCTAAACCCCATACTTGAAGACTATACGCTTAGTAATACTGAATTTTGGCTGGGTAATATAGCATAATTTCTGCCGTAGTCCGTACCCTTATCCAAAGGTTTCAATCCCTGAATTTCTCCTTTCACTGCAGACAGAACCCTGAAAATTCCATGCGATCAAATATCAAACCTTTACTTTTAATAAAAGATTTTAAAATCGACATAGAAATTCGGCAGAAATTCGATTTATTCATCAAAAAGCCATCGTCTCAATGGCTCTGACTCGGTTCAATGTAAAAACCTTCGCTCTGTGCAATATACCGTCTACAAACTGACAGCACGATGATGACATCTGTACAATGAATACTTCTACTCAGCCTATGTTATTAAGCCCGGTGTTCTGTCTTAATGAAATCCTCCTGTCGACGACAGAGCAACCACCTCCCCACTTTAACTGTTAAATGTACAATTTTAACGGTACAACGTGTGCACCTGTAAATGTACATATTGTATAACCACTTTCAATAGTGTACAATACAAAGTTACATCCGCTTCCCACGGACTTTGCTGTGAGCTTACCACTGCACTGGATCATTGGTTTCCGTCAGCGACCTGACCCGTGTAACTGTAACCTTTAATTGGTTAATTGTATTCGGTAACTAGGTGATTATAGACTGATTATCTCATCATCGATCTGTCATGTGCCCCTCATGGTTTAGTTCCGGCAGTTGAACAAGGCTGGTCCTATTATATTTAATGGGTTCGTGATCCTATTTACTCGCTGTTATATTAAAAACCTATTAAAAAGGGCAAATTAAGGTATTAAAAGTGCAGGATGTAAGCAATTAAAGTAAAAAATGCCTGCCAGGTTAAGACATGCCTGCTTGGAGTGAGAGGTTTAACTCATTACCCCCAAATTAACTACAATTCTGAAGAATTGTAAAACCTTTCAACGCGCCCGAAAACCAGTTTCCGGTAATTATTCCAGATAATATTATGTATGAGCACTCAGTTGTGTTCTTCAAACCACACGACTCTAAAATACTACGCTGCTGAACGATCTAGGAAGGCCACTGCATGAGCTAGGAACGCAACTGCATGAGCTAGGAACGAAGTGAAATACAATCAACTGTACAAATAGCATATATAAATTATAATTGGATAACGGTCGGCTTTGAAACCCAAAGGTCAAACCGCTCCACTCCTCCAGTTAAGTCCAGTTAAGTCTTAAGAATGTACAAGGAATGTACATGTACAAGGTACGAGTCGAGTTTGACGTTTGCTCTAGCGTCCTCCTGACGTTTTTCACGGTCTGGAAACGTTGTATTTTGGAATACTTCCTGTCTCTCCACTAGAAGTCCATGGATCCAGTCAAACTGTAATGGTTTTAATGGTTTTATGCCTCGACACGTGGTGATATGGCTATTTTAATATCCAGAGTCACGTTTCAATATTATATTTATAAGCGTGCACAGTTACCCGTTTATTTCATTACAACTCCACGAACTTTTGAATAACTCCACGGTGGCTGCTGAAGTCTTTACCAAGAGATCTGCTATTTTCAGAGTGTACCCAGCCGTTCCCTGACCGTTTAAACATTCAATATATTATTATTTAACTAACTGTAAACGAAAGACACGGAGATTGTGTTAAATGGCAAATACAGAAGGCAGGTGTTGGGAAGTGTGAGAAATTAGTTTGAGTAATTCTACAGTAAGATGTGTTAGACCTGAGGCTCGGGATTTGCACAGTTTTTTAGAGTGATTTAGATGGCTTGGATATGTTAAAAGGAAAGGGAATTACTAAAGATGCGAAATATTTGGAAAGCGAAGACTGCTTTGGTTGGAATTATATACAAAATGAGTTACTAAACTCTGCGTTTTAATCGTAAACACACCGTTTGCACTTGTGGGGAAGTCCTACTTGTAAATTTCACGGAACATTTGACGTGATCTGATTGAGCTATTGACAGAAGTTTACATCATTTCACAGGAATCCTTGTATCCTCTTACTGTTACTGAACGTTGACAAGTCTAATGCAATTGTAATAACTTACTTATTCTGACATGTAGGTGGCCTATTGGGGGGGGGGGGGGGGGGATCATGCACTTAGTACCTGATTCCCCGCCGCCGCTCTTCTCGTCTCAATATATTTGTAACGACCATATATATTATTGTGTGTCTTCAAGAGTAAAAGTTGATAAGCGCTGCTATATAATATATTGTTGGTACTTGGGAGTTCTCATGTGACAGAGGCTAATTAATCAAGAAAGATAGCCGTACAAATGTTAATTACAGATGTTTTATAACCGAAACTCTTTGTAAGACAAACATTTTAGTCACGTGACTCACAAGGTCGGCCCTCCTCACTGTTGAGGTTTTTGATGAAATTTGTAGTTATAAGGTTGGTATAGTTCCGACTGATATGAGTTGAATGGGTCGGATTAATGAATTGTGAGACCGCTCCTTTTACTCTCTGACTAGTATCGTTCACTAAAAGTTACTAATACCCAATAGTATTAGTAAACATGGCCGGGGGACTTATGCAATATTGCTATTTTGGATATATATTTTGGATATATTACTGATATATGACCAAGTATGAAGTAGGCAATGATGCTCAAAGTCAAAGTTAATATTACAGTAATATTTAACAGAACTGACCTGATAGTATCAGTGACGTTACCTCAAAATACTTAACAATATCTTAACTATCTTAACACATGACCCTTCTCAGTTCACACAACGGAAGACGAGTCCAATGTGCTGGAATACCTGAGTTGCACGAGGTCTCCTTCATTCAGTCCCTTTGTAATGACAGTGGTATTGACTTCAACGAACACAAGAAATTCTACGAGAAGATTGGCGAACCTACAGAGGTGTGTTTACTTAGCTGATAGTCTGTCTGTCTGTTTGTTTGTTTGTTTGTTTGTCAGTTTATCTCTTTCCACTCTCCCCAATATTGGTTTGTTTAAATGCAATATTGGGATTTATCCAGCTCTAGCTGACTAAACATTTACCTCCATCTATAAGTATATTTACAGAGATCATTGCTGATCCTGATATTCAGACATACTATTATACTATAACTCCTACTTAGATATCTAGACATTCCCCATATTCTCACTGTTTTCCCCCAACCAACCCTCAGTAAACACACAGTAACATAACTAATAACTTGCTGGAGTCTCATTGTCTGCCTATTACTGCAGCTAAACACTAAACCTAACTATTATTTGTAATCTCTCCTCCTCTCCAGGTTGCAATGAAAGTACTCTCCGAGAAGATGAACGTTCTGGGATTGGATACATCTAAACTTACTAAGTCACAGCTGGCCAACGTCTGCAGCGACGCTATTGATCAGAAATTCAAGAAGGTAAGATGTTTAATAATTTGTTGAGCTAGTTAGAACTCCTGTACATTTTCTTTTCATTAGCTCTCTCTCTCTCTCTCGCGCGTTTCTTCTTAACAATTAAGTATTTTGCAACTGCAGTAGACTAGACTCAGGCTCTGCAGAGGTAGGCTGTAGAGCTGAGAGAGAGAGATAGAGAGAGAGAGAGAGAAAGAAAGGGAGAGACAGAGAGAGACAGAGGGAGGGATGCCTATACAGTGTACAGCCCTGTACCTTCAGAGCTATCATACTGTCCACTACATCACGTAGTTCGATCTACTGTCGAGCCAGACGCGACCTGACATGTCCTCTTTCCCTAAACCATTTCCACTAACCTTCCATCTCAAAACTCTCTGCAGGCTAATTGTCTAATGAAGGCGTGTAATTTAATAATCGGTTAATTAAATGATCCAGGTTTGCCCTGGAGCTTGGTTAAGGCAAATAATCTCGTAAATCTTCGGTAATGTTAATGAATATATCCTGCCTCGTGTAGCCAGTCCTATCCACTTCACGTGTCCCGGCGGCTTGTTGTACCAGTACCAGGAGTCCGCTTCATCCTGCAAATATTACAATCATCCGTCACATATTTAATACTTTTAATTCCCGGATAAAAGCATTAACCGTGCAAGTCTTCATAACTTACAGAAATTTGTCGCATTCCGAAATAGGAGAATTCCAGCTCGGTCTGCAGAATTGCAGGATCTGTCGAATTAAGGACGGTTATGGATAATTTAAATGAAGGATTTGTGTTGTAATACATACATCGACAACGGCTATAATATCGATCTTTTATTGAACTTTATATGCATTAAAAGGTCACGTATAATGATATTACAGTCCAATAACCTGGGAGAAATATATATACTAGACATACCGCATACATTGAATCTCATCAAATATATCTGGCCACGGTCACACGTGACTATTGTTACGAGCTTGGTTTGTAATGCACGTTATCATCACTCATTACCGTGAAGTAACGTATCACTATTATCAGTAGGTTCTCTGTAGTATCATTATAAGTAATAACAGAAATATTCTAAGATATGTAATATAATAGTAGTGTGGATACTGGATACCATCATGTGATGGATGGTCAGCCAGTCCAACGCAAATATAATATTAATACCCTTAATGAAAAACACATGGGAGTGTAGTAACTAGTATATATAGTAATGAACTGGTCTCAGTTAAGACTGTTAAGGTTGTTATCCAACCCACCGGCCTCCCCCGTGTAGTGTAATATATTTATTATTTAGACGAATGATAAGTTACTCTATAGAAGGTTTTAAGTTAAAGATGTTAGGGCGCTTTTGTTTAAATGCCATTATCATATATAATATCTTTTTAAATGGAGGCCTATAAATAGATTTAATGAGTTATATGTGTACCCCTTTTGAACGTTTAGCTGTTAAAGGCCAGCCCTTTTCCGTAAGACAATAATATGAATAACAGAAAGGGGGTCCTGAGTCTTGGATATTAAATTATATTAACTTATATTAAAGAGTTAAGTTCTCTAAAAAGTTCTCCAACAAGTTTGGGGATTAAGCTGACCTGAAGTTAACTTGGAGTCATTTATAACAAGTAACCGTTTAGTTTATTGATGCAGACTTTAATAAGGAAATTGGGTAAATTTACCGGTGATTCATTGGACTTCCACGATAAATTAACTTAGACATGATCATTTATTACAGCAATTGGTCGACCTCTCAATTGCAAGTAAAGAAATTATCCAACATTCTTAGTCCTGAAGATAAGCAGTAAACCAGTAAAATCTGCATACCAGTAAAATCTGCATACCAGCCACGTACAGACACACGCACCACAAAATTTAGATTCTTAGAATACTGTTCACAGTGTATTTTACAGTACGATTCTATGTGAACTATTACACTATCAGTTTCACATTTCCCTCTAATTAAAACCTGATTACAGCCGCCTCATCTCAGAGTTTTCAATGAATAAAATAACAGGGATAGCTGCACCAGTGTAAAATGTTCACCATGTGTTCTATACTACTATATCGGAGGCGATGCACGCGCACTGCACAGGTGTCCCGTATTTGTCTGATAGACTTACTACATATTGTATACACTATACAGCACCTAGGTGGTGTTGTCAAGGCAGCCATTGATGACACATTAAGTTATTAAGGTGAGCTAGCTTATGAAATGGCTGGATATATACAGTACTTGTCATGATCCAGTGTAACGAAATAGAGGAGCATTTATTTTAGGCAATATGTATGTGTGGTGTAATAGTAACTTAGTATGTAGTAACGATGTTATATATAAACATTATAAACTACTTAGTGTACTATTAAACTAATTAAAAAGCTTGTTATTCTCGAAACTGGACAGTCATTTTTCTCCTCAGAATAATGTATGTTAGCGGAGTATTTCTTACAAAATGTTACTGCTATTTGCTAAGCAGTAGATCATGGAATGCCATCTGTGTCCGGTAAAGGACAACTTGAATAATGAATATGTTCATATAATTGTTCATTTAATGAGTGATAGAGACATGGAAGAGAGCACGTGACCACAGTTTAAAGCGAACGAGTGCCCTAAAGATGTCCGTGTCTGCCATTTCATACCATTTTTCATGCTTGACTTATTGAATGAAATAGCCGTGTAGCATGCAAAAGCGAAAACCCATTATGTGACGTTTATCGTGGATATGTCTACTTAATAGTTATCTGGTTATTCTGAACTAGAGGGAATTTTGGTATCCAATATACAGTACTGAGTACATGCGTGTTCGAGAAGGCATTATATTATGCATTATAATAAGAACTGGTTAAATAATAGTGATACAAAAATCATGTATACAATTTTAGATAGATGTATGTACTCTTAGTCCAAATACTCCTAGCCCAAATTCCATCTGGTGGATTTCTGTGGAACTTTACATATTATTGTGGTAGAGTTTCTTAAAGTAACATATGCGTGATGTGGTCATAATGGAGTTAAAATGAATCACGAAAATGCTCCTCTTATATATAGGTCGGATTGTGACTGGTTCTTTTATAAAGATAGCATCACCGATCTGATTGTGTGAAAGCTCTCTTTATTCGATCCCATATTGTACATCTCTCTACAATACATAACAAAAATAGAATAGGATCGAGAAATATTCCACAACTGTGGGCCAGGCACGTAACGGGAGTCATACGATCACGTGATAAATCGACATATTTCTAACCTCTTAGGATATCATACGGCATACCTTCGCTCACACCAGAGTAACTCATAATATGTACACTGTAGTACAGGCTGGCAATCACATTTGAGTTGGTCACGTACACTTACTTGTCAACGAAAATAAGTTTTTAAAACAGTGAAATGTAAAGTTTTTAAACAATTTTATCCGCAGATTGCCACACTGGAATTCTCCCGCGACCGTAAGAGTATGAGTGTCCTTGTGACCCCCACCGATCCAGCCACTACACAGAAATGTGGCCTGACCTCAACCGAGAAGATGTTTGTAAAGGGAGCTCCTGACTTTGTCCTGGAAAGATGTACTCATATCAGGTTTGTTATTTTCTTATTATTTGTTAACTTGGAAGCTTTACATTTTCTCTTGCTCTAAATTTTTGTTATTTTAGCATTTATATGTGACCGATTTTGAGGCTCAAATTGAAATCAATATCCGTTTCAGAGTAAAGGGAGAGAAGGTACCAATGACCCCAGCTGTTCTCCGAAATATTCTGGACATGATTTCTCTTTACGGAACAGGTAAACCATCGTCTTTGTGGCTAGAGTGAATCTAATAGAAAATAGTTCCTTAAATTTGATTAAATTGCCATCTGTGGTTGTGGTCTACTCTTTTTCTTATACACTTAATGAAGTCTGTGACTTGTTCCGGTTAATTTCTGATTAAGCCAGCTGCATATTTATTTTTTTGACGTCACATTCTTCTTTCGAATTTTAGATTAGTTTTCAAATTTTTGCTACCCGGCACACTTACTCTAGTAGCAGGGAATAGTTGAGTGTGCACTTCGATGTACACGATTTCTGACAACACAGGGTTTTTTGTTAGATCATTCTTAACCAAAATCGATTAGGTACGCAATTTGTGTCGCTAGACATAACCCTACAGGGCAAATTTTCTAAATTACCCTCAGTCGCGTATACGGGATTTTTGTATTTCAGCTCCTAAAGGTCATAGAGACTTAAATTTTAGCTTAAAATTACCGCAATGGCCACATTTATATACAAGTTATGAAGCAACATAAGGTCTCCAGTGCTTCGTTTTATAGATATTGACAAAAAACTGTTTTTTGGCTCAGCGAACCAAAAATGGCACTGAATTTTGGTAACTTGAACTAGGAAGGTCGTAGAGACTTGAATTTTAGCTTAAAATGACCGCAAACATCATATTTATATACAACTTATAAAGCAATATAAGCCCTTCAAGGCTTATTTGTTAAGATATTGACAAAAATCAGTCATTTTGGCTACACGCATTAGGAAAAATACCAAATTAAGCAACTACTTTGGTCTTTTTTTGACAAGTTTTGTGCTCAAGTTATTAAAATGTGCTTTGCAGTTGTATATCGGGTGTTTTCTTCCAATATGGGTTTCGGTATAAATCCGGAAGCACCCGGTTCATGGGTGATAGGGGTTAAAAACCCTGAAATGTCAGGCGATGGGCGAGACAATTGTATGAATTTGGTTATAAAATCACTCTTTGCTATGGTTTGCTTTTTTCCGCTACATCGATCCGCTTTCTTACTACTAATCATCCCCCTCTACATCATTTTCTTTTAGATACATGATTTCTATAAGTTCTTGAAGGTACATCCGGCATGATGTCAAGTCTATATCAAAGCATTTTAATGTGGTTTTAACAAGTTGCAAGATATTCAAGTTCACAAATAAAACAAAGATTGTAGGTTATCCTTCTTTTACATATTGAATAATTTTGGCTACACATGTGAGGAAAGATACCAAATTGGTTTACCAAACAAAGATTGTAGGTTATCTATTATTCTTTACGTGATTATTGACGAAACTTCATAGTCAAACCTGTATTATTTTTTAATATTTAATATTTATCCACACTTTCTATAAGAATATTATTGGGAGTCATTTTTGTGGTTACAATTCGATTCAATCAGTATTTCCAAGCAAAAAAACTGTCCCAAATATCTCCTCCAAATATGGTCCGCTAGTTCGAAATTTAAGCGCTTATAAACGTTATATTATATTATTGTTAGACATTACATTAGGGTAACACTATTGAGACCAGATGTAGTGATCTATTCAGATAAAGCGAAGAAGGTGCATCTGAATGAGGAGAACTTTGGCGATCAAGATAAAAAAGAAAATGAGATATCAGCAGCTGACAGAAGAGATAGAAGCCAACGGATGGGCTTGCAAGCTCCAGACAGTACAAGTTGGAGTTCGAGTCATTTACAACTGCAGCCTCCAAACCGTTATGAACCACCTGAGCGTAAACTAAAGAGAAAAAGGCCTGCATGAAGATCGCTGAAATTAGCATGAGGGCACCATACACCATCTATCTGTCCAGAAACACCATTATATGGACAGATGATTTGGAGTAAGGCCCATAAAACATGTTTGATACCGCTATGAACCCGTTATAAGCCGGGACTACCATGGAAGTGATATTGCTGTGTCGCTGAAAGACCCTACTACCATTCAAAGATGTACCTTATCACGCCAAACAGTCATGCTTGTAGGTGAATACTGAATATGCAATTATATAGTTGAACTACTGTATGATACTCCATTCAAAATAGATTTAAGATGACGTTAATGTACACTGTACAACATCCGCATCCACATCGTTTATCTGTGATCAAAAAGTTACGCTTTGATTTCCCGATTCAAAATACTGTCAACCCGAATAATTTGATAATAACTAAAAATGTACCTTTGAAGGTTAGTATCACCTTGGAAATAATTATTTTTACAAACTACCGTTCAAAACTTATAGAACGGTAGTTAGATTGGCTACCCACAATTATATTACAACGTCGTGGCCCGTGGGGTCAGTCGATATTGTTGCTATACAAATCAGGAGCAAGCGTCTTGAAACAGGATACCATAAATCTGTATAAGTTTTAAGTAGTTTCATTCTACTTTTAATATTATTATTGGGTCGTTTACGTTTAAATTATATTTGGCCATTTTATAGCCTCCCCCTCAAAAAGCCCACAATTACTCAATATGTAAAAGAAGGATAACCTACAATCTTTGTTTTATTTGTGAACTTGAATATCTTGCAACTTGTTAAAACCACATTAAAATGCTTTGATATAGACTTGACATCATGCCGGATGTACCTTCAAGAACTTATAGAAATCATGTATCTAAAAGAAAATGATGTAGAGGGGGATGATTAGTAGTAAGAAAGCGGATCGATGTAGCGGAAAAAAGCAAACCATAGCAAAGAGTGATTTTATAACCAAATTCATACAATTGTCTCGCCCATCGCCTGACATTTCAGGGTTTTTAACCCCTATCACCCATGAACCGGGTGCTTCCGGATTTATACCGAAACCCATATTGGAAGAAAACACCCGATATACAACTGCAAAGCACATTTTAATAACTTGAGCACAAAACTTGTCAAAAAAAGACCAAAGTAGTTGCTTAATTTGGTATTTTTCCTAATGCGTGTAGCCAAAATGACTGATTTTTGTCAATATCTTAACAAATAAGCCTTGAAGGGCTTATATTGCTTTATAAGTTGTATATAAATATGATGTTTGCGGTCATTTTAAGCTAAAATTCAAGTCTCTACGACCTTCCTAGTTCAAGTTACCAAAATTCAGTGCCATTTTTGGTTCGCTGAGCCAAAAAACAGTTTTTTGTCAATATCTATAAAACGAAGCACTGGAGACCTTATGTTGCTTCATAACTTGTATATAAATGTGGCCATTGCGGTAATTTTAAGCTAAAATTTAAGTCTCTATGACCTTTAGGAGCTGAAATACAAAAATCCCGTATACGCGACTGAGGGTAATTTAGAAAATTTGCCCTGTAGGGTTATGTCTAGCGACACAAATTGCGTACCTAATCGATTTTGGTTAAGAATGATCTAACAAACAACCCTGTGTTGTCAGAAATCGTGTACATCGAAGTGCACACTCAACTATTCCCTGCTACTGGAGTAACTGGCAACTTTAAAAAGAGTCTTAGTGACGCGCAGTAACGCGCGGCGGTAAAAATTTACATAAAGTTCCATTTAATTGCGCGGCATTGACGCGCGCTGTAAAAAACTGACGCGCGCTTGCATTGAGCTGAAAAGGTTACGTAAGCAAAAGAGCGAACTTGCCAGAACACCACCGATGACCGAAGGAGGGTCCCGACTTAAAAATTTCGTATTTCAGGTAAAGATACTCTGAGATGCCTGGCACTTGCCACCAGAGACGATCCCCCAGCACTGGACTCCATGAAACTAGAGGACAACAAGAACTTCTCAACTTACGAGGTAAGAATTAAACAGTGAATCGCCACGTAGTATAAGAAATTACCAATGCCTCTATAACCTTGCTCTACGCGTATATCTTACCCTCCGCGTCAGATAAAAATACATCTGTCTCGGATATGGTGATCTGCAAAGAGTAGCAAATATATGTCAAATGCTTTCAAATTTGTATTACAGGGTGGCCTAGGAAGGACCATATTCGATGTGTCAATATCTAATACCCCACAATGCCAAACTTCAAAAATCTGATCAAGCTATATCCAATTATATGATTAAATTGCCAGTTAACCGTCGGCCCGACGAAAGTTGTCCCCCATTTGCCTGATCAAAATATCCACCACCTGCCTCCATCCTCAACTGGAGTTTCACTTTCGCATTATGCGCATGCGATGCGTAGCACAAGAACCGATGTATTTACTTACATCGGCTGACATAACCATTCATTTGTTTGATGCACTTGATAAGAAGTGGCACTTGCACATTTGGCTCTCTCCACGCTACAACTTATATACATTTACTGACTCTATTTCTAAAAGTTAGCGCAATTAGCCAGTGACATGACAAAAACTGACAAGGAAGGAATTTTTCTCCGGTGTCTATGGGCTGGAAAGCATTTGGTGAACCTTAAATCACATTTTCAAGCGATCCTACACATTTTGCAACAAAAATGCCCTCAAACTGTCATCAGGAGCTGTCATTATGTGAAATATTATTTTCAGAGCGACCTGACATTTGTTGGTTGTGTCGGTATGTTGGACCCTCCTCGTGCTGAAGTATATGACGCGATCGAGAGGTGCAGAAAAGCTGGAATTAGAGTCATTGTCATCACTGGTGACAACAAAGGAACAGCTGAAGCTATTTGCCGACGAATTGGAGTATTTGGAGAAGAAGAGAACACCGAAGGTAAATAATCCCACAAATAATAACTACTGATCACTTAATCACTAATACTGGTTACTGAAATTTATCAATTAGTAGACCTAAACTTCGTTTAGCCGATTTATAAATTCATCCATCGCAGGCAAGAGTTACACTGGACGAGAGTTTGATGAACTTACCCCTGAACAACAGAAAACTGCCGTTGCTAACGCAAGTCTTTTCGCCCGAGTTGAGCCAAGCCACAAACAGCGTATTATTGAGTTCCTCCAAGCTGCTGGAGATGTATCTGCTATGACTGGTGATGGTGTGAACGATGCACCTGCTCTCAAGAAAGCTGAAATCGGAATTGCAATGGGAACCGGAACTGAGGTGGCCAAGAGTGCTTCCGACATGGTGCTTGCTGATGACAACTTCTCTAGTATTGTCAGCGCTGTTGAGGAGGGTCGAGCCATCTATAACAACACCAAACAATTCATCAGGTAATTTATAAAGTCCAATTTTTCTTCAAGCACTGTTAAAATTTCTCGAAATATAAATCACATCTTACTGTAACGCCGAATATATTCATCCTTCAAAAGTTTTAACATATCCTTACATTCTACAGATACCTGATCTCATCTAACATCGGTGAGGTTGTTTGTATCTTCCTGACTGCTGCTCTTGGTTTACCTGAAGCCCTGATCCCCGTACAATTGCTCTGGGTTAACTTGGTCACTGATGGTCTGCCCGCTACTGCTCTCAGTTTCAATGCTCCTGATCCCGACATTATGGCTGTACCTCCAAGGAACCCAAGAGAAGGTTTTTTAAGAACTAACCGTCTCGCCAAAAAATTTCAGCATGATGACTCGGATGTGAACTATTCTTCTTAAAATTTCCATCTAAACAGTTTTATAACCTGCTTCATTGTATGATCTATTCTAATTTTAACCAAACCTTACTTCCGCCTAGGTCTGATAACTGGATGGTTGTTCTTCCGATACATGGCAATTGGTCTGTACGTTGGAGTAGCCACTGTAGGAAGCGCTGCTTGGTGGTTCATGTCCTACCCCGGTGGACCCCGTCTCACTTACTACCAGCTGTCTCACCACATGTCCTGTCACCCTGACAACGAAATGTACAAAGGATTCGACTGCGAGATCTTCGGAGATGCTCATCCTATGACCATGGCCCTGTCCGTCCTTGTGACAATTGAGATGCTGAACGCTGTCAACAGGTAATTTGTGTTTTAGCTAATAGAGAAGTGAACTGCGAATCTTATCCATGTACACGGTGCAATAACATGGATTAAGATAAAGTATTAATATTTTCAATCAAACCAGTCAAACGTTAACACTAATTATTAACAGCGTGTCTGAGAACCAATCCCTGCTTACGATGCCCCCATGGAAGAACACATACCTTCTGGGAGCTATCTTCCTCTCCTTCGCTCTTCACTTCGTCATCCTCTACACTCCCTTCCTCTCCCTGATCTTCCAGATCACTCCCCTCTCCTTCTCCGAGTGGGTTGCTGTCTTCAAGTTCTCCATCCCAGTGATGCTGGTTGACGAGTTCCTCAAGTTCCTCTCTCGAAACTTCATCTACAGTAAGTGAACAACGAATTCATAGCTGAACTGCTGAAGCTCAAATTTAATTCCGATCTGATGTAATTTTGTTACAGGTTTCCTTGATTATATTTGCTGTTTTCTTTGATTGTTTTATTCATTTCCAAAAGTAGTATTTAACCGCGATAGATAACAATCTGCTCCGTTTCAGATTACACCCCATCTCACGAGAAAATCCAGTAAAGAGTTTACTCCCCCGAACCCTACTTCTTCAACCGAGCAGTATTTATTAAGCAACCACACGTTCACCTGGGTCAATGTGACACACCCACACACACACGTCCAATATTAGTTGCCATTGAACTTGCAGACTTCCAATTAGTTTTCCTCCTAATTATCGAGTTATTAACTATTTCATCATAGAATGCTCGAGATGGACTGGTCGAATTAAGGGTGGTGTTTTGGTGGTGTTCTATATATAATACTACTGCGAGAGTCTAATATAATACTTATTTGAATTGAGAGTTTATTATTTATACGTAATATGTTAACTAGGCAGAGAGAAATAGAAGCGACTTTGTGCAATGTATATTGTATAGTGATATTATGTACATGATACAATTAATATGCATTGTATAAACCCGTACCCGATTGTGACTATTTTTTGTCGGGAGGATTTCAGGTTCATGTCATTTTTGGGAAGCTTCCTTTTCAAATCTTGAAGGTTTTCGTAGTTTGATCTCTGTAAATATTGTCTTCAGCCGGTGCAAGTATAATCCCTTTTTGGGTGATCTTGAAGTTAAAATGTTCGGTCATTTTGAAATGTTTTGGTTGAATAATATTATTACGTATGTACGAAAAATAGATTATATAACAATCGTTGTCCTGTCGATGTGATGTATATTAAATTTTGTGAAATTAAGCATTAAATTTATCAACTTATTATTTCAGCTATACTACTAAGCAAGTTTCTATAAATATACGTTACACTTCATCTGTTACCAGTCATGCTACTTTCCAGATTTCACCTCTGGGTTTCTCTTACATAGAACGTTATTCATTTAACTTTGGGATGCGGTATTTGGATCTATTTTATTGTTGTGGCTTTTAAAGTACATTGCCGTTATGAAGTTTACCGAAGTGATGCTGCCATGCACTTGTTGCAAATATTATGCTATATTATCAATAACGATCTTAGGAAAGCAATTGTTAAAATTTGCAGCACAGATCTGCAGGCTTTCGCTTGGTACGTTGAAATTATACTTGCCTCACTCGAAAAAGATACCTGAGCCAGAATAGATCTTGTACTTTTTCACCGAGATTGTTTCCGGGGGAACCACCATTTTAGCTTCCTGAGGTCTCAATGGTACCAAGTGTGCACAAAATGGCAGGAGAAACTAAAATAGTTGATCCCCTGGTTTCATATTAATGAAAAGGATGTCTATTTTAGCACCAGGTCTCTTACCTCAGTGAATAGTATGATGACACTAAATAACGTTACTATCGTTTTGAAGAAATACTCCTTGCTCATTGCTGATCTTTTTAGTGTTATCCGGGGCATCGGTGCTAATTTATTTCGAAATCTGTTGAATCTAAGTATTGTTGGGTCGAATTGAAACTGTGTCGTTAAGAATAGCTGCAGTTGGTTGATGCTACATTAAAATGCTATTGTTTGAAGGAGACCATTAAAAATGGGCTCCAGTAGTAATACTACTTACTAGGAGCTTGTTATGCAAATTTACGATTTGCTTGTTGAAATCAACCTCAATTCGACCAAACTACACTTCGATTAATCATGAAAGTTATAACGTTATTACAGACATTGCTTTGAGCTATTTGATCTATATTTTAAAGGATGATATTAAGTGCTAGTTGAACCAATTTCTGACGAGTAAATATTACGGTAAAAATCTTGTTTTAATTGGTAGGTCACAGAAAAACTATCATAAGCTCGAATTTCAAAGCTGAATAACAATAATATTACCACCAAAACAATACAAATAACAATTTAATAATAGTAAATAAGAGTGGTTGTCAATACCTATCACCTATACCCCAAACTACCCCTAGTTTATTGCAATACTAGTGCAACCCGTGCATACGGCCGGGACTTCACTATCGCAGTTGAAATGCAAAAATATGAACCCGCCTATTATTATTATTATTATAAAACAGGATCTTACCGACAAAAATGATTCTTAAAAATACCTTAATGCGGTAAACTGTACCCTTGAAAAAGATTTTCCCAACATCTGTTGCATGCAGCTATATCTTTAATTTCGTTCAATTCATACAAGTTGTCCATTTGCAAACTTCTACTATTTAAATCACTTCTTAAAACCGATAACAAGTTCATTCTAGGTCTCCCCAATCTTCCAATGAATAAATTATCTGATTCAATAGCAAATGAGAGAGCCGTTTGGGCTGGGGTGTTCTCCATACTCCTGAGAATGTGTCCAAACATTTTCCACCGCTGGTGTTCAATACGCTTGGATAACTTTTCAACTTTGCACCTTTCATACAATGCTTTGTTGCTTATCATACCTTTAGGCCATTTGATGTTTAAAATGGACCTGAGGTGTCTACGATGGAGTGTGTCCATTTTCTCCATGGTTGCTTTCTTAGGACTCCAACTATTTGAGTTGTAAATCAATACAGATACAACTTGAGCATCGTATAACCTCAGCTTTCTTTCAAGGGATATTTTCTTACCAGACAGCCAAACTTTTTCAAAGTTCTGAAAAGCAATCTCAGCTAGGATTCTTCTTCTTTGAATGTCCTTCTCAGTACACAGTAAGGAACCTAGTGACTTGTTACTTCTCCATGGTTCGTTATTAATATTAGCTAATGGCTGACCGTTTGTATCTTTATCAGATTTTGTCACTAGGTAGAAGGTACTGAATTCAGTTTTACTTTCATTTACTTGGAGGTTCCAGTCTTTGAGAATCTCCTTCACTGTAGGAAGGAAAATTCTCAGTTTCTCGATGTCCTCGTCAGCAAAGTCACAATCGTCTGAATATTCCCACTCAGTTGGAAAACCCGCCTATTATATTATTATTATATTATATTTGAAAACGTACGCATAACATTGTCGTATGAATGATGAAAGTATTTGTAGCGCGATGCATGCTACTGGGCTGCGCGCGCATCCAATAATGCTTCTCGCAACCACCTTATGCAGAGCGGCGAGATGCGAAGGATTGACATCGTGAATCTTACTGGGCCGCGCTCAGCCTGTCATTCCGCCGAATCTCTGATAGCCTGAGGTCCCCAGGTAACGGGAATCAAGAAAGTATGAACTCTCCACAGTCCAATCAGATCGCAATGAGTGCCCCCTCCCCTAATAAGCTTATAGTATTACATGACCGTGAATATCGAAGGACGCGAAGCTATGCTAACCTAATTATGATTTATGTACCAACACTAGGCCTAATGCTTAACTTTTTGCCTATGCAGCTGTAATGGGAGAGAGAGCGAGGAGGAAAAAAACATTGACGGATGTTACTCGTCTAAATTTCTTCGAAGTATCGCGCGCCGCTTTCTTTTCGAAATGTTATCAGTTATGGCCCGATGGCACGTGCTACAAAGTCAAAAGTAGCGCGCGCCGGGCCAAACCATTAACAATGGTCAAGAAGAAAAAGTGATTCATTTTATGTCACATTTGTTGTTTGTTGTTTGCGCTACAAAACTACCAATCAAACCATTTATATTACTACCGACCGATTTAAAAAAACCTTTATCATGTCATTTGCATTTGGCTTCGTCAGAGTTTTATCGGCACTAATTTATCCTTTACCGCGTTACCGAAAAAACTAGGCCTGTAATGGCGTAACTCATACGTATAATTAATGATAATCAAGAATACGGTACCGTATTCTTGATTATCATTAATTATATAAGCCGCTCGGAATTATATTACACGCGCACGGACGTTGACCATTGTTAATGATCAGGCCCGGCGCGCGCTACTTCGTAGCGCTTGCCATTTCGAGAAGAAAGCGGCGCGCGCTACTTCGAAGAAATTTAGACGAGTTACATCTGTCAAGCACGGACGCGGGCACACAAACAATTGTTACTGGAGGACCCCAGGCTGTTATGTTCATAAAGACCTTTGATCTTATGTGTATTATTATTAAACCACTAATTTGACTTAAAATTTTATAAAACAATAAAAATTTTACGTGCGCTGCACTAATTTTTAGTGGCGCGCCGCGCTTAGTTTGTAGTTTGTATCTTAACTGATCTAAACCGTTCTGTAAAAATCGAGCGCTAATTATCACTTGTTTTTAAAACACCTGTCGATTTTCAGATCTACTGCTTTACATGATTTTAGATTTGGTTTGAAACTTTTACAGATCGTATATACACTACAGCATCAATTTGATTTGAAGAAAAGACATTTCAAAGTCGCTTGATTGGGACAGTGCCGGGTGCCCAGTGGTCTAAATCATGCAGCAGGCAGCTCACTGAATCAAGGCAATAAGGTAGTACTTATATTATTGAGAACAACAATTATTGCTCTTAGAGTGTAGAGGAGAAAGAGCGATAAAAAGTGCTAGTGCAGTTAAAATATCAGATTTATATATAAATTTGGAGCCAACAAATTGAATTGGCTACTTTTACTACTTAAACCAGACAATATTAAGGATTTAGATTTAAATATTGAGCCCTTTGGCTAGAAAATACTTTCTTAGACATTTTGGACAGTTTTTAATATTAATAAAGATCTAGATGGGGCAGGAGGTCCAACAAAGATAAGTGCCCATATTTTCAAGCATATGATATGCTCAAGATTCCACAGCACTGAATCAGATAAGCTTGCCCAGACAGTAGCTGATCTGACTAAAAAGCTCTGCACAGAACAAACTCCATCTAGCTACCTAAAAGAGTTTGTTGCAGGAAGACTTATACCCCTTGACAAAGAGCCTGGCTCTATAGTTCCTGCCATAAGACCTATAGGAATTGGAGAAGTCCTTCGAAGAATCGTTGCCAAAGCAGTCACAAGAATACTCAAGTTGGACATCCAAATGGCTGCTGGGAGTCTTCAAACATGTTCAGGGACAGAGTCGGGCATAGAAGCTGCTATTCACGGAATGAAAGCAGTTTTTGAGGACGAAGACTGCGAAGCAGTGTTGTTGATCGATGCCAAAAATGCTTTTAACTCCCTCAATAGAAAGGTAGCACTAAACAACATAAGAGAACTGTGTCCATCTCTTCATTGCTTCCTCCAAAACTGTTATCAAGATTCAACAGATCTATACATAGTGGATGAAAAGGGACAGCTTGAAATCATCAAGGGAGAAGATGGTTCAACCCAAGGCGACCCAGCAGCCATGGCTAAATATGCAATATCAATAAGACCATTAATGGATGACATCACCAGAAACCAAGACCATATGTTACCCTTAGCAAAACAAGCCTGGTTTGCAGATGATGGAACAGCAGGGGGAAAACTTCTTCAGCTTAAGAAGCTCTGGGACACCTTACAACAGTTAGGACCAAAGTATGGTTATTTCCCAAATGCTACAAAGACTGTGTTAATAGTCAAGGACCTAGTAAATCTTCCTGCAGCTAATGCTATCTTCAAAGACTCAGGGGTTCACATAAAGAGGGATGGAGACAGACACCTTGGGGCTGTTATTGGATCAGAAAACTACAGAGACCTTTATGTGAAAAATAAAGTTTCATCCTGGATTGAAGATGTTAAACAACTGGCTGAGATTGCCAAAGAAGAACCTCAAATAGCATATTCTGCTTACACTAAAGGGTTGAGTCATAGATGGTCTTTTGTTCAAAGAACAATTGGAGGGATATCAGAGCTGTTTAGACCCCTCGAAGAAGCAATTAGAACAATACTTCTTCCTTCTATATTCAATCGCCCAGTAACAGACCTAGAGAGAGACATGGTCGCACTACCTCTTAGACACGGTGGCTTAGGAATTCAAAATCCTGTTCATACAGCAGACAGAGAATACGAGGCGTCACAGAAAATCACAAAACCTCTGGCTAATCTTATCTATAACCAAGATCATGATCTAGGCAAACTTGACCTCAAAGCTATTGCAAACACCAAAGCAGCACTGAAAGCTGAAAAAGAAAAAGATTTTGCAGCAGAGAGACTCAGAATAGAAAACGCAATAAGTTCTCCAGCAAAGAAAAGATCGTTTTCACTGGCTACACAAAAAGGCAGTTCATCCTGGCTGTCAGCCCTCCCAATGCAGTCTTATGGTTACTGCTTGAACAAGAAGGACTTTAGAGATGGTATATGTTTGCGATATGGCTGGCCTATACAAGATATTGCTAAACACTGTGCGTGTGGAGAAAGAAACTCCGTCGATCATGCCCTTTCTTGTAAAAAAGGAGGGTATGTTTCCTTTAGACATACAGTGCTTGTAGAAACCGAAGCAGATCTACTACGTGAGGCTAAATGTAGAAACGTTTATACTGAGCCAGCTCTCTTACCAACGTCTCCAGAACTTCATCCCAAAGGAACTACTACTGACAGCGGAGCAAGGCTAGATATTGTTGCAACTGGATTATATGGCAGGAATGCCAGGACTTTCATGGATGTAAGAATAACACACCCAAATGCACCATCAAACCTTAATGTTCCCCTGGACAAGTTGTACAAGAGAAATGAGGAAGAAAAAAAAACTAAGTATAACTCACGAGTCATCAACACTGAAAGAGCGTCTTTCATTCCTCTAGTGTTTTCTACAGCAGGGACTACAGCACCAGAATGTGACAGATTTCACAAACGTCTTGCTAGATTGATATCAAAGAAGAGAAAGGAGAGCTACACAGATGTTATCAACTACATCAGGACCAAGATATGCTTTGCTATGCTCAAAAGCATAGTGGTATCAGTTCATGGTGTGAGGAGTCAAGAAGAAAAGAAAGTAACAAAAACGGTTGCTGACACAGCATTTGGACTTATACCTAGTATGACCTCTTATGAGTGCCGTTAAATTATTAACAGGAAAATTGTCTTAATTTTGGTTGATCAAATGTTTTATATCAGATGTTGATTTCTTAAAGATAGGTGTATATTTTTGCTATTATTTCTATGAAAGGGGAGGTACAGATAAAGTACCAAATAAGGCAGGAATGAAAGATGATCCTAATAATTACAGGCCAATATCCATCCTTCCACTTGTAGGAAAACTTATAGAATACTTTGTCGGCAAGCAACTCACTGATTACATGGAAGAGAACAAACTTTTCATCCGGCATCAATATGGCTTTCGGAAAAATCACTCCACAACTTATCTGATGTACGATCTGATGGACGAAATATATATGAGTAAATCTAAGTCTTATAAACCAGGAATCATCTTTCTTGATCTTAAGAAGGCCTTTGACACAGTGAATCATGAAATATTGCTTCAAAAATTGGCATATTATGGAATTGGTGGCATTGCTTTAACCTGGTTTAAGAACTTCTTATCTTGTAGATATCAATGCACTAGGATCAATGGCAATCTAAGCTCATTTTTAGAAGTTCTGAGTGGTGTACCACAAGGAAGCATCATTGGGCCTATATTATTTAGTATCTTCATAAATGACATCATTTATGCCTGTAACCTATCTAAGCCCTTTCTATTTGCAGATGATGGTGCACTATTCTTTGATCAAACCTGCAGAAGCACATTTATAAACATGAAAATAGAACTTATGACAATCTTTAAATGGCTCAGTGTTAATAAATTATCACTCAATGAAAAGAAGACTGAATTCCTATTGTTTGATTCTGTTGACCAACATGATGAAATAACCATTGATTGTAATGAGGTAACTTTCACAATCAAGGAGTGCAAAGAGACAAAATATCTTGGCCTCATTCTAGATAGTAAATTAAACTTCAAAAGCCATGTAGATTATATTATTAGGAAGGTCATGAAGAGAATTGGTGCCATGTATAGAAGTAAAGCACTGCTACCCATTAAATATAGGAAAATGTTTGCCAATGCACTCATGTTGCCACAATTCGATTATTTAGACACAATCTATTGTAGAGCTGGCAAGACAAAACTTGCTGAACTTGACACTCTGTACAAAAAGGTAGCCAAAATAGCTCTCAACGTTCCAAAAACAGAGAGCAGCCTTAATGTTTATAGAGACATGAAATGGTTACCACTCCATCTTAGACGACAACTCCATCTGTCAAATTATATGTTTAGAATCATCCATGACAATTGTCCTACAAACTTTATGAACAAATTTAGTTACATATCAGGAGGTAGTAGGAGCGGCGAAAGCTGCAACCTTTATGTCAATAGATCAACATCACATAAAAACTTTCAATACTTGGGGGCAAAATGTTGGAATAATGTTCCAACAGATCTACGAAATCTGCCCGATGTTAAAAGCTTTAGTGATTCGTATAAGAAACAGCTACTATCATCTATAACAACAGACCCTAATTATACCGTCGACAATTCATATGACAAATTTTACACTGCAATCATAGTCGCCGATAACTAAGTAACTTCTAATTCTTTTAAATCTGAGGCATATATAATTGATGTATCGAAAAGATATTCCCTTTTTTACCACCTTACCATTCTGATTGATTTTGCACATGACTGACATGTTTTAACTGGAGAAGGGGTTCCCACAGTGGTAGTTTTATAAACCACTTTTAATTTATTGACCTATTATACTTAGTGGTAGTTTTATAGACCACATTTAATTTATTAACTTATCATACTTAGTATTTTTTTTTTGGTGACTGTATCACCCAGTTTTAACATTTGATAATTGTACAGTTTATTGACGACACATTGACTGAATGTCATTTTATATTCTAATTTATATTCTAGATATTTTATTTATTTTACAACAGACGACAACTTCCTGTTTTTTCTTCTATATTAGTTACTCATATCTCTTGTACAGACTTTTTTACAAGGACATTGACAAATGATACTCACATTAGGCATTCATTATTGCATCTAAATTATTTCACTTGCATTAGGCTTAGAAATTTATTCTCTGGTCAACAGATTTCAAATGTTTAATTAATTTGTAGTATGACAGTAAGGTATATAAGAAGTTATTTAATTTTGCTTGGGCTATTATATTGACTAGGTATTGAGGTTTAATGATGATATGGAATTTGAATTCTATATAAATTTACACTATGTGGTTGGGGCATTTTGCATAGTAAATATGGTTACTACTCATATATATCATATTATTTGATTGGTATTCGATTTCTGATTATTTCTCTAGGAATATGATTATTATATCTCAATTTGGCTTTAGGTAGGGTGCCCCGCTAAAAGAACTGGATTCTTCCAGGAAGCATCCCGTGCACAGAGCTTGGTCTACATATATATTAAATTATTAACCATTCATTCTGTATGTGCACGAAAATTTATTTCAATCAATCAAACCTTATTGTGTATATTTGGTTGCAACTCCGGTAAATGATGAAACATGTCTCTTATGAGAGTGATACCGTGAGATGCTTCCTTTTTTTTCTTTTTTTTTTTTGTTTTTAATATTGGTAATGTTAATAAATTAACAACAGTGATTTCTCAACAGTGATTTTCTCAACAGTGATTTCTCTCCGTGGAGACAGAGGTGCGAGAAAAAACATTGTTGATATAAACAGTCTAGATCTTAACTTGGAGCCACAAGGCCAAGGGTAATTTTTCTTTGTTAAGGGAAATTTTGAATTCTTAAAGGGTTGATTTTATATAGGGTCATTGCTATATTATGTGTATATTGTTTGAATAATTTTAAAAAATTGATTGATATATAATATTTAGGGCCCGTGGCCATTTTTACAATTTAGTGAAAAGAAAAAAAAATTGTATATAGGGTCATTGCTATATTATGTATAATAATATGTATGTATATTATATTATAAAAAGGCAGTAAGGTAGTATGTTTCGTGAAAAGTACGAAAGTACAAAGTGCCACATTCTAAAGTATCACATAGAGTTAAAAGTGTTCTTCAAATTTCAAAACCTTGTATGAATACTCAATGCATGGTTATATTATGTTATCAGTAAGTAGTTGTACTTTTCAAATTCTGCCCACCGGGCCGGTGTGAGGGATACATGCAAAGCTGCACAAAGTTGTACAAGCTCTTGAAAACATTCAAAACCAAATCTTTATATAGCTTCCAAATTTTGGAATAGCATACATGAACGGTTTCTAAATGAGAATGGGGAAAGAAAATCCTCACTACTTCCGTATCTTTGGTTAAATTACGCTGTAAAACTATCATCCTAGGATCCCAATCCATCACCAATAATAATACCTGGACTTACCACAACTTTCACATCGCCCCTCACACAGTCACAGACCAAACCAGTTCATCACTCACTCACCAAATTGCCAACCCAACATCTATTGAAGTGGCAAAGATTTTTTAGACAAATGACTTATCGATATTATTACTGCTGTGTATACACTAGAACAAGAGAGACACTTACTTTCCAGACATAAACCCCTAATAAATAATATCAATTAGTATAGGAATATAACAAGATACAACACCCTTCCACCTTAATCAGAAAGCTAATAATTTAAAGTGAAAACTCGCGTGCGCTGCTCAGAGTGAATTGTAACAAAGATTGTAACAATAAAGTTGCGCTACATTAAGTGTCTTGCGCGTTACGTAAACACACATTTTCAACTGCGGCTGACTAAATGTTCCACCGCGTCCATTTTAAAACTTGGACAGTGAAATAAAAAATATAAAAAACTCGTGAGTTTGAAACGGCTGTCACGAGATTGAAACATGCAATTTAACACGCAGAGTTCTACTCCTTTCCCTTCCATCTGGAAAGATCTGATTCAGATAAAACTCAAAATATACGAATCTCTCAAAATTATAAATCTCAGCAATTCATTTCTGAATATCAGAAAATATAACAGTCCGTCCTACAAAAAGTTTAATAGTTAATAATTCTTAATAAATAGTTGAAATTACACGGCGTGAATCACTTACAACAGACTAAAATTGGCCGACACAGACGTCAATCATCCCCCTAACTTAGAATAATTCCACTTATCTGATGGAGGTTTCGAGATCCGACCGGATCGGGTCGTGTTAGGTGCTCTATCATTACTACTTACAGGACTGGGTTCAGCCACTGGGTGCTCAACAACATGCTCATCATGCACAACTTCTGGTAAGCTAGGACAAGGTACTGGCGGACTAGGTAAAGACTCAGATTCAATTGCTAGGGGTGTGCTAGGCACTGCTGGTTGTATGGTATGTCTAACCTTCAGTTGGTCCACATGTTTGTCCACTACGCCATTCTCCCCCAGAATTCTATAAACCTTGCTCCCTTGTCGAGCTTGAACTGTACCTATATGCCAGCTCTGTTTTCTGACGTCCTTGTAATACACTGGTTCACCTACCTTGAACTCTCTAAATAAACCCTGTTCTACAACCTCCTGTTCCTGTTTAGGGTATAAGGGTTTACACGGATAAAGTAAAGATAATCTGGTGCGTGTAAGTCGTCCAAACATCAGAGCACTGGGACATTGTTTTGATACGGAGTGTGGAGTATTTCTGTACGTCAGTAACCAAGCTGCCAGATTCTTGTTATAATCTGAATCGGTAGCTTGCATCTTCTTCAGAGCCTTCTTGAACGTCTGCACCATCCGTTCAGCAAGTCCGTTACAATACGGAGTAGCAGGTGGAACTGACACGTGATCAATCCGATCTGTCTGTGATTTATGGTGGGCTTGTCGTCGAAACTTGTTAAGAATATATCGCTAACCTGGTAACCTGCTAAATCAACGATATCTGGGTCAGTTAAACCTGTAACATCCTGCGTACGTAAGTAAAACCTGGAACAAACATCCGCATTACAGTGATTGGATGTAGTTCTAAACTTAAGGGGGCAGGGGGGGGTCTTTATGAAATTTCTCTCGAAATTGATTTTATAGTTGTTTCTGATAGAGGGGAGTGATATCTACCAGATATTTTTGGTCCCATGGAAAAATTTTGTTCCTAGCCGAAATTATTGCCGGTCAAAGGTCAGCGCTCATGTGTAATTGTATTGCGCGAGCGATTTTCAATCGCGCGCCCTGAAAATCGAGTCTAAAAATCTATCTCCTCCTACATTTTTTGAGCAATCACCTTGAAACTTTCAGGATATGTTCTAAGGACCATTTAGAAACTTTTACTCTTTTTAGAATTTCGAGATAGGCCTTTAAAAATTTTTTATTCGATTTTGAAAATCTTGGACCTGAAAAAATCGTCAATTCGGGGCAATTCCACGGTAAGGTTCCACTTGGTGAAAATGAAAAATGTTAAGATAGGCACCTAATTTTGGTTAAAATATGTTCATTAGACTCTTAACCTTACAGGCCAACAAAAGTTTTTTGTTTCATATTGCATTAACTTTTGATTTTTCTCATTCAAAGGAACACTACTCGGAAATGAAAAAAATCATTCAAATTTTCAAAGGGCCATAGTTTGGGTATGCAGCAATATTTCTCTATGAAATTCCATACACTTAGGCATAGGCATAAGAATGAGAGCTATGCAAAGTTTCAAAACCGTTACTCAAATACTTTTTCAAAAAAATTTCCACAAAGATGGTGTCGCGTCTGTCACAAAATTAAGCAAAAAAGTTTTTTCAGAGCCACATAGTGCTATTTATATTAAAAAAACCACTGTAACCTATCTCTTCTGAAGGTAAGGGAGTACCGTAGAAATTATCAGGCTTGTATCTTTTAAGAGCAAATTTTTGGAAGGGGGGTCCCAACTTGTCGCGTCCGTCACATTTTTTTGAAAATGCTCCAGAAAATCTTTAAACAGACTTTAAATGCATTTTTCTTAAAGCTGAGGCCGTCCTCAACACAACTATGTCGTCAAATCGAAAATTGGACAGAAAATGACCGAGTTATGTATAATTTTGTATATGCCCATATATGGGCGTACGGCTCACTTTTAGCCATTTTTATCCATATTTCCATTATTTTGACTAAAACCAAGACAAATAGAAGTCAAATAAGGTTGGATTGTGTTGACTATGTTGACTTGACTATCAAATAATATCATATGCAATTCAATAATTAAATTTACTGAGTTTTTGCCATTTTATTTGCTTACAACTTTTTCAGAGGTAAAAGGCACAAAAAATGAACTTTACCCTATTTTCGCATATTTTTGAAGTAAAAATTCAATATCTTCCACATTTTAAACACTAAAGTAATGAAACTTTTAGGAGATGGTCTCAACAGTATGATGCGTTGAACAGTGACGAATGTTTTACCAGAGTTATAAATTTGTTCAAGTTGAGAAATAATTGATGCCCCTAGACTGATACCCTAGCGTATGCCCAAAATGGACGATTTTGGCTATTGCAGACCTCTTGGGGGTATTTGAGGCCTAAAAATTGGCATGAATACAGAGTAGATGTCACTGAACAAGATAAAAGTGTCAAGTGGAAGATTTGGAAAAATTGGAAAAAAACGTGTGTCCGTCACAGTCGCGTCTGTCACAATTTGAAAATGGCACCACGCAAACAAAAATTGAGCAATCTCCAAGAAAATGGCATCTCAGAAATCCCTAAACCTTCTTCTATCATTGTAATTCCAAATTAGAGACAATAGATAACTTTTTGAGATAAATTTGGGTACCATCTGAGTAGACACCCAAAAAAAGTGTCATATTTAAGTCGCGTCCGTCACAGGGGTGCTATCTCAGAAAGTAATAATGGTAGGGGTCTGAAATTTTCACACAACCTGTAGAAAGGTTAAATGTGGACAAATAAACAGTTGGAGCTGATAAATAAATAACATCTCGAGTACAACAATCGTTTGAACTTTAAAAAACAGCAAAATCGTGGTGTCCGTCACGGTGGAATTGCCCTAGGAACAAAATTTTTCCATGGGACCAAAAGTAGCAGATAGATATCACTCCCCTCTATTAGAAACAACTATAAAATCAATTTTGAGAGAAATTTCATAAAGACCCCCCCCCTGCCCCCTTAAGCGTATACTGATAACTAGCGAGTAGAACTCCCCATCTCTGTATCCTGCTTACTCCCATTTCCGGGATCTGCTTATTCTCTCCCAGCAGGAACTTCAGAGGCTTGTGATCCGTCACTAACTCGAACTTTCGGGCGAATATGTAGCGGTGAAACTTCTTTACCGCCCACAGCACTAAACTAAGAGCCTCCTTCTCTATCTGCCCGTAGTTTTTCTCTGCTGCATTTAGTGACCTCGACGCGTACTCTATCGGCCGTTCACTTCCGTCTGGGTAGGTGTGGCTGATCACTGCTCCTAACCCAGATTTACTCGCATCTGAATCCACTTTTATTGGTAAGTCTGGATTATACTGTACCAATACTTTGTCAGATGATAACACTTGCTTCAGCGTGTCAAACGCCCTTTTCTGCTCCGGTCCGAAACTCCACTTGACACCAGATCCTCGTAGTCTGTTCAGTGGTTCAGCTATCATCGACATATTCGGTATAAACTTAGCGTAATAATTAATAGCGCCTATAAACGATACTAACTCCGATAAGTTCTCAGGATAAGGTGCTTCCTTGAGAGTCTTAACCTTGTCTTCTACTGGAGATATACCCTGACTACTAACTTTATGACCTAAGTAAATTACCGAATCTTTATAAAACTCGCACTTATCTAATCTGCAACGATATCCTGCCTGCTCTAACCTGTTAATCACCTTGGTAACGTTATCTCTATGCTCTTGGTCGTTGCGACCCGTGATGCAGATATCGTCAACCCTGCATACTGTGTTAGGTATCCCGAACAGTGCCTTATCAATCTTTTCCTGGAAAATTGCCATCGCTGTTGACACTCCAAACGGAAGTCTCGTCGGTCTGAATAATCCTAGAGGGGTATTAAGAGTTAACAGATCCTTAGCTTCCTCGCTGAGTTCAACCTGGTTGTAAGCCTGTCTAATATCCAGCCTAGTAAACTTCTTCCCGCCTCTCATGGGGTAAAAGCACTCTTCCTCCGTCGGTAGCGGGTACTGCTTTGCGTCCAGCTGAGGATTTACAGTAGCTTTGTAATCCCCACAAATCCGTATTGCTCCGTCTGGCTTGTCTACGATCACGATCGGGCTTGCATACTTGCTGTGTTCAACGTTCTCCAGCAAACCTTCCCGTACTTGACGTCTGAGATCGTTATCAACCTTTTCTCGCAAAGCATAGGCTACAGTTCTTGACTTCCTGTAAACTGGCATACTGCCCTCTTTCACCTGTATGTTAGCTCGGAAATCCTTGATCAGCCCAACACCGTCTTCGGCCTCCTATTCGAATTTAAAGAATCATCAATCTCAACATTATGGCTATTGGACTTTCTAGGGTTTTTAAAACAGAATCGTTTAGTATGGCCTACTTTACCACACAGAAAACAAGACGTTTTGCAATTGTTCTCAGAACATTTGGAATTCCGAACTTTTAACTTACAAAACTTGCAGATTGTCTCTGCTTCCTGAGCTGTAGTCCTTTGATGTCTGTTATTCTGTTCCTTCTTCCCCCACTTAGGAGTTGTCTGCTGTACATAGTTCGCTTCAGACTCCCCACCAACAACCACTTTCGCGTTCGAGGCTGCTTGTTCTCTGGCTAACGCTTTAGCATGCGCATCTTTCAGCGACAATGTCTTTTCCTCCGATAGTAGTGCTTTCCTTATCGAACTGTCCGCCAACCCACATATAAACCTGTCCCTAAGAGCGTCCTCATAGAAGTCCCCAAATTCGCAATGTTTGGCCGCTGCTCTTAAGTCAGTCAGAAACACTGTTACCGTTTTGCTTCCTTGCGTCTGTTGCGCAAACCGATGCCGCTCGACCATTACAACTGGTTTAGGGTTAACGTGATCTCTGAGAGCTTTGGTCAGTTCGTCATACTTTTTGGTGTTCGGTTTGGTTGGAGAGAAGAGATTTTTAAGAATTTCGTAGCCATATCTGCCCACATACGTTAGCAGTGACGCTACCCGTTTTCTGTCGCTATCGTCTCCTACCAGGTCCTCCAGGATGAAGGCTTCTTCCAATTGTTCCAACCAGCTGTTGAGATATGTGGCATCACCGCACCAGGGCTCTTTTCTCGTCGCCATTTGCTGTGTATACACTAGAACAAGAGAGACACTTACTTTCCAGACATAAACCCCTAATAAATAATATCAATTAGTATAGGAATATAACAAGATACAACAATTACTGCAGCAGATACCAACAATATTATATTCCAAACCGTTTGAACCATTAAATTAACTAGGAAATTCAATCCTCGACTTAACTTTTACTGTTTTAAACTGATATGATGACATTAACTTAACTTATTTTATTACATATACTTCTTTATAGTGTGGTGACTTGGAGTCCATAAATATAACAATACAAGCTGATAAACCAAAAAGAACAATTGGGGTAGGTAGGTAGCCCTGGTGGGTGCACAAACTTTACAGTCTGCTCTCTCCAAGATCAGCCTGCTTCTCCATTTTACTGTGAAGCCTAATTTCTAGTTTTTATAAATACAATGCAAGTGCATGTTTACTAATCTTAATCTACTTACCAATTCAATAGCTCAAGTCACCATACGATACTCTTAGTATATTCCTTAGTAATAGAATAACTTTAAAGTTTTTCAAATTGACTCTCGGATCGTTTGCTTATTTGCACTTACTACAAACATCTGTCCTCTTGAACTACATTTAGCCCAAGTTATTCGATCAGGCCAAATTTCTGGGTTGGTTTGAGATGAATCCGTTTATTTATTATTTATGTCATACCCATGATACCTTAGCCTTGACAATAATGCAGGGTAACTAACTGTTAAAACAAAAACCCTTCCCATTCAACAAAAGGCGGTATTCCCATTTACAAACCACAATACAAATAAAGCAAAGAATTTTTAAGTAGTTCAACCTCAAGTATTTAAACTTCAAATATGATTAATCTTATCTTATTTACAGGTTCATTATGTTTGCCAATTTGCCATGGACAAGAGATGATGAGAGTCGAGGGAAGCATACAGGAACATTTGGGGAGGTTCATGTGTGGCGTAGGATAAGGAATGGAGCTAAAGAAATGGCAGTTGTGAAAATACCTACTGTCCCACAACACATCGAAAAACTTAGGAAAGAGAGGGATAAAATGTTACAAGTCAGTCATGAAAACATAGTCCGTTGTCTGAATCCCAACATATTCAGCGATGATTTTAATCTGGAAAGGCAATACAAAAGTGGAATCATATGGAAAGATGTTCTTGTCATGGAGTTTTGTGATGGTGGTAACCTGAGAAAAGTTTTTAATCAAAATAAACATGGAGTAAGACTTGAGGATCTTTTAAACATATCCTCTGACCTTGGCTCTGCATTGCAATACCTTCATGAAGTCCATCACATTATCCATAGAGACATAAAGCCTGAAAACATATTTCTTTCCAAGACTTCAGATCCCATACGTCCACTTCTTTACAAAATCGGGGATATGGGTGAAGTAACTGAAGTAATGAAATCAGATGGAATGACCCATGTCAGCACTTTACAGACTCATGGGACATTTGCATACATGGCTCCTGAACAGCTTTTGTATGACCCTTATGATGGAACAATGAAGATGGGAGAAAGCACTGATTTGTGGGGATTTGGTACAATATTGTCTGAAGCAGCATTTGGTATTCGCCCGTTTTTCCACGATCAGGGACACCAAATTCACATGGATATCAGTTCTTATTGTAGCACTATCATGGATAAATCTGATGAAACCATCTACATTTACAAGGAAGGGCAAATGCGAGATCCAGCATTTTTACCAGTCCATACATCAATCATTCCTCACAACAGTACCCTTCCTGACTTCGTTCTGCAGAAGATATTTCAAATTCTTAAAAGTCTTCTTTTATCAGATCGTAAAAAGAGGGGCAATTTGTGTAATGGCTCATATGGGATCTACAAACTGATATCTGAACTAACCAGTACAAGAATATGTTCTGTCCTTCATTGTGGGCAGATCAAGACACAGTTCATCGATATAAACAATGATGAAAGACAGTCATACGATACATCTAATGGAATAATTGTAGACCAAAATCTCGAGATTAACCCTGAGCATTATGATGCTGGGCTTTACCTTTACTTGTCTGAATTTTCTGAAACTGCTGTTTCAATTCCTAGTATACCAAATGTTTTAGAGCAGTATTTCTCTGAACCATTTCCAAGTTATAGGAAAGGAGTTGAACGCAGTCTTGTTGGGTTTGTAGTCAGCCTGAGGCTCAAGTTAGAGCATATTGTTAAATCTATAGACATAATCATCAAACTGATCAAAGAAACCAAGACTAAATTCGAAGCTGAATCTCTGGCGCCATTCAGCACTTTTGTTGAGCTGTGTGACCACAAGTTGTATAGAGGATATCTGATGTCGTGTATTGAAACAATTTCTACGAAAACTGTTGTGAATAATCTGCAAGATCTGAAGAGCGATATCACGATGCAAATTGGATACACCACTTGTTGGGTTGATACTTTTCGAGGTCTCACCTCAAAGACTGAGTGGACTGATGTGTACTTGCTTGTAGACAGCTTCAAGGAAAAGTACTGTACACTAGTGAACCGTTTTGCAAAGGGGTCAGGGTATGGATATTCGTTCTTGAAGACAGTTGCTCATCAAGAAATGAAGCTGAAAGGTATGGCAGCTGAAATGAAAGGAATTGTGCTTAAAACATCTGGAAATACTTCAAAAGACAGAAAGAGTAACATCACAATGTTAATGGAAGAGAATGCTAAACTTTTTGATCAGCTCAAGATTGAGCTTGAAGATAATTTTGACATTTAGAACCTTTAACTGTTTATTGTTTTACTTACCGTTTTTTTGTGGAAACTTTATGAATCGCTATACATGTGACCCTGGCCATGTGGCCTGTACATACACTTCTGATAATATAAATTGTACATTACAGTTTTTTTGTAAACACTAAACGCACATGCCATGTGGCATGTTATCCGGAAAAGTTAAATATTTATTTTGGGATTTTGGACAAAATTTTGTTTTATACTAATATTGAATTAACACTATGTATAATCATTGCTATTGCACCCCATGACATGTAATTTCATGTACTTTTATCAGTTTATTGTTTTTTTTATGGATCATGGAAAATATTCAGTAATCAATATTGATTACAACTACAAAAGGTTGACTCATTTTGCAAATTACACCATCTCCATGACTAAAACCATGCACACTATTTCTTCCAATTTACAATCCCAAAATTATTTAATCTAAATTAAAGTTCTCACATAGCATAACAAATAGCTCGCTATGTCTGCCCTGATAAAAAAGCTTCTCAACACTCGGGTACTTCCCATGGGCCTGCGAACTCTATCTGAGGTCACCAAGGTACAACCGACAGTGACTAGCATTCCCAGTTACTCTGACCAACTGAACCCCATCCCCGGTTACGATTACCACAAGACAGAGTCCCACCCGATCCCCGGAATCAACTTCAAGGACCCCCCTCCTGCTGAGACTGGAGTACATGCTGTTACTGGGGAGGTGGTAAAGTTTCCTTACTTTCACTGCAGGGATGCTTGCTACGATGGAGATCTTACTATTGCGTGAGTGCAGTATGTTTTTATAATGTTTATTATGATCGTTTCACTGCCATTTTATACCTGCTTAGTGTTTATTTGGCTAAGGTGCCATGGTGGAAATTTGACGTCTGTCATGTGAGTAATAGAAGTCGTTTGCTTATCTAAATAAATAGTTAGAGTTACAACAGTTTAGCTTTGAACTAATATTTTGTAAGGTTCAAGTCTTCCAGAACTGGAAAAAAAGCGCTAGATTTTGCCGTCATGTTCGTGAAATAATACAAATTGCGCTTAGTACAAATCATGACGTCTTGTCGATTTATTGCATGCTATTTATTCCATTTATGTCTTCCTAAGTTATACACATTGTTCTAGACGCTTCTTTACAGCTTTGCATAATTTATTCAAATTATTCTCAGTGTTTTAGTATTTAAACTTGATGAAATTTAAGTGCACTTGGCACAAGTTTTTCCGTAATTAAATCACAAAACTCACGAGAATGATCCATCCCTTTACATACCTAATTAGTTCTGTTTCTCTCAGGGATTTGGTAGAAGTGATACCAGCTGATTCTGAAAAAGGACCTATTGATATCTGGCTTGACGGGTTCGAGTTCCCTGGTCTACCCAAAAGGGGCTGATGAAGTTTACAAAGTTAAAGGTACCTGCTTTTAACTGCAAATTTCTGTTTCTATTATATTTTACTTTTACAATAAAAATACATTACATTATATAACGAGAATACGCTTTTCATTACTTACAAAAATTAACTCATCAAAAGTTTTAAATACAAGTTTTTACTGAACTGATATCCTCGTCCTACCAGGCACTGATGTCGGTGAAAGTGGACCAACCCCCGATCTGTGGCGTTACAAATACGAAATTCCTGCCGTCAACGAAGCTTACCTCTTCTGGAGAAAGTACGGGACTCTAAGAAGTGACAACTTGCCGGAGGAGCAGTTTGATGCCATGTGGCTTCACTTCTTCAACAACCCTCTTCTGGATATCTTCGAGTTGAGGCGAGGTTGCAATATCGTCCACGATCTGGATATGATCCCAGAACCGGCTCTGGTGGAGCAGATGTTCTACGCTTGTAGGAGACTCAACGATTACCCTATGACTCTCAGGTACTAAACTGGGAAAGTGCTTACGTGATATCGTGCTTATATTGGGCCCTTATATTATATTCTTCATTTAGTTCTAAGTTTGCCGCTTTTAACAAATCTGCAATCAATGAAAATAAGGAATCAATATGTTTACCATCCCTGGTAAAAGTTTAAAACATTTCACCATTTGTCCGCAGGCTATTGGAAGGAATAAAGAATAAGATCCCCAAGGACCCTGTCGTGTATCAATGGGTTTTACAAGAGCTCGCACCAGTCATGGAGGAACTTGGAATTAAAACACCCGATGAGCTCGGACTTCACATTGCCCCTGAGGGCAAGGGTCCTTTACCCTATTAATATTCCAATTAGTTAATCGGTACCGTCAAACTGATAGTGTTGATAGAGAGATTGACGGTATCGTATAGAATTTCAATCGTTCAGTGCAGCGGGCTGTCGTGGTTATTGGCGCATTGAACATTTTGCAACTTGTACAGTAAAACCCGGATTAACTGCGTACTTGGGAAGGGTAAAACCTGCGGTAAATCGGGGTTTCGGTTTTGGGTTCCTAAATTAGTCATTAATGGGATAAGGCCTGAAATGCGTACAAGCAATATTTTTAAAGAAAAATTCGGTGTAAATCGGGGGCAGCGAATCGGAGTTTTACTGTATTTTAGCGTACCAAAAAATTTGATTGCGTCATAATTATGAGACCCTACTGTAGGACACTAGACTCATCCTCGAATTATCTGATGTTGAAAGTTCTCACTGGACCCCTTTGTGCTTACCTTGATCGTGCTCGTAAACTAAACTTTGTAATTATATACTCAATCTTTTGTTTAACTTATTGATGGTAGTTTTTCTTTAGGCTTCGTTCCCGATATCACCTGATTTTAACTGCATCTCATGATCTAATCTATTCAGTGATCAATCGACTTATAAAAAATCACAAAATTGAATTGTCGATTTATTTTTTCTGCATTCTGCAGTTTTTGAGTCTGCACTATAATTATAACCTCTTAATTAAGAACACAAATAGTTCAGAATGGCGAACAGAACTGTCAAGGACGCAGTGACTATCAAGGGCACAAATCCTCAGTATATCATAGAAAAGATTACCAGAACCAGAGTATACGAGTCGAAGTTTTGGAAAGAAGAATGTTTTGCTTTGACTGCTGAGCTTATTGTTGACAAAGCAATGGACTTAAAGTAAGTTATTTAAGACGCAAACAACTGTTTTAAAGAATTCACATTATATGTATATAGATATATATACTGTTTTCCCTTTAGAACACTTCTCACATCACATAGTAAAATAAGTATTATGAGCTTGAATGAAATATGATGTCTTGGTATGGTCGTTTCTAGTGGACTTCAACGGGATCGGCGAATTGGACAACTAAGTTTGCGGGTTTTGTCGGCCTTTCCTGCAGCTAGTTTGATTAAATAATATTGACGAACATCGATTATAAATGTCCGTCAAAGTCATACAAATCCAACCTCTCGGCTTCTCGGCAATATTCATACTTGGACACACTCGATAACACCCCAACCTGTGCTGGACCATCAAGTTCCTGATAGATGAATACTGAATATTATACATTACACTCTTATATCAAAGATGTGTGAGCCAATATAACACTTGTGTGATATGGTACTTGTGAACTAATGAGTTAAAACTTAAAATCGTGATTTTCCTTTGGTTGATGTGCTGAAGATTCGTTCACACAGCATCGACACACTATTTTCACAACCTTCGACCAAAGCTGGGGTATTTCTGTTCTCAGACCCGAAATTTGTTGCTTCTAGAACATTCTGGATCAGCAGTTGTAACAATTGCTACTATTAGTAACTTAGTAAATGTAGTTTACATACATTAATAGGGACTAGCAGGAACCCGTCTAACCCTGAAGTGGTGTCAAGACTCGAGAGACTAAAATAATTATTACCTATTTAATTCGCGTTTTTGACACCACTTGAGAGTCCACATTTTGGGCACTAAAATTATTATTCCTTGGCCAATTTTTTATTTTTTCATGCTGATTTGAAGGCCATTAAAGCATTTGACCCAGTCAACAAAAGTTTCAGTTGTATATGTTTAACGGTTTTTGCGGAAAGTCGCGTTAAAGTAGATGCCGTGGTGTCAGTAAAATGGCACGGATATATACACATATATATATATATCGTCTCGCTTTATATATAGTAAGATAGTAATTAGTAGATAGCGGACGTTTAAACTTTAAACCAAAAAATATTAAGTGGGGACTGGGCCCTAGCCCAAAAAGAACTTCGCCTCAATTATATAGAATCATCAGAGAGTAGAATTATCCTCACAGACCACGGTTGGCGGGTTGCGGTATCACTATAGAATCATACCATAGTGTACACAGCGAGGACTTCTAGATGCTTCTAGAATATTCTTTGTATGAATTGCAGGTGCTCTTTTACAACTAGATTTTATCAGATTCCGTACATAGCAATTGTGACGATGTATTTTTATTTTAGCATACATGATTTCTGCAACTCTTTGTTTTAAACATTGTGTCTTGTGGCTCATGCATAATGTAATTTACAAAATATAATGTATTTACCATGACGCAATACCAAGTTGTCCCATGTCTGAGTACACGCATCATATAACCAGATTGTAGGGGGCTACGTTGTGTAAAATTGACCTAATCAGTACATTTACTTATCATGGTTCATTATATCATGTAGGGCATCTTGGCAGCTAATTATATTACCTTCGATATCAGATCAATTACCTGCCAACTCTAATGATGAATCTTCGCTTTATTCTAGGACTGTTTCCATAGTTAGGAGTGTTTCCATAGTTACTTATTTTTCATAGTTACTTATTTTTCATAGCTAGGACTGTTTCCATAGATACTTATTTTTCATAGTTACTTGTTTTAACGGTATAGCAACGGAGTTGCGGAAGTCGAATTCTCGCTTATTCAAAAGTCAAAACTCAAAAGTACCATTTCACAAAGCTTCATAATCCATTACGTCCTGTTCAGGTACATTGGCGGTACGTACGGAGGAAACATAAAACCAACTCCCTTCCTCTGCCTGATCCTCAAAATGCTGCAGATACAACCGGAGAAGGATATCATTATCGAATTCATCAGAAATGAAGATTACAAGTAAGTTTATTAAAGTATTTGGATTTTATTATTCCCGACTCCCGAGTTGTTTAGGATATCTAGAATATTCCAAATATTCAGATTTAGTATTATATATGCTGAAATTGTTACAGTTATGTGAGATTTCTTGCTGTTCTGTTCTGTTTGTGTTTTGTTTCTGTAACTCGGAGTTACTAACTCCCTCAAATAATGTTAAGCTTAGTTCATTCTTTATTTCTGTGGTTTTAAGTCTTCCGGTATATTATATTTTTCACACCTATTCTGGGCAGACAATAACGCGAACGTTACATGTATAATATATTTATTTAAAACTAATTACTTACAAAATCTATTACATTTATTAAGGAGAAACAAAAGCTTCTAACATGAACAATAGGTCTCAAATTTAATAAAAATCGCGAGTGGTTAATAGCAATTTTCGGCCAATTTGGGCTTGGCCGTTCATGAACAATTTTTGAATTTTGAACTTTTAAACCAGCTAGTATACCTGAGCTGCACAGAATACGTGACCTACTATGTGAGCTCACTGTGCAGCCTGCACAGTAGCTGCACTGTGCAGCCTGCACAGGAAGATTGTACCATTTCACAGAAACCTGATTCACAAAATGGGTATTTAAAATAATCGGCTATCAAAAATAACAGCAATCTCAATTGCGATCTTCATGACGGAAAAACAATTTGCGGTAAATTTCCGGAATCCTTAAATGATCATCTAACTTCATTATAAATCAAGAGGCTTGCATATAATGAACATATTGACACGGGTGCAGAGTTGAGTCTGTACGGAACCTAGTAGTTTCAGATCCTTGTTTAACTTGCCGTACAGCAAGGTCATCCACTACTTTAGCCCGGCGAGGCACATAACTCCCTCTACATCTCCATGACAAATGTTTCATATATACTAGCCGAGTTCACAAGTTATATCCTTGTGTTTGAGAAGAGCTCGTTAGAACTGCTTCCTTTCCCTTCAGTATCCCACAGTCTCTCGAGTTTCGTAACTGCCAGAGAACTCTCTTAAACAATTACTAGACTCGGTGATTATAAATCAAGAGGCTTGCATATAATGAACATATTGACACGGGTGCAGAGTTGAGTCTGTACGGAACCTAGTAGTTTCAGATCCTTGTTTAACTTGCCGTACAGCAAGGTCATCCACTACTTTAGCCCGGCGAGGCACATAACTCCCTCATCAAAGTAGTGGAGATGACGTCTGAAACTTTTTAACATAGCCTAATGAGCTAATGACTAATCACAAATGCATTATCTACACAATCATCTTCAAAAATGGGTCTCTTAGCGCTTTAGCGTCATCCGAACTATACTTTTTGCTTTTAACAAATACCAGTTCCACTGTCCCTGCAGAACTGGAACTACCAAAATGATTGTACAACGATACTATAATTCAATGAGGGTAGGGCGCCTAACGACGACAGCATGACGTTGTGATGTAGCTGTTGTGAAATCTGCAAATTATGGTCTCTCTTTTTATTGTTAACTCAAAACGTTATAATCTGAAAATTGTGGTCTCTCTTTTTTATTGTTTACTCAAAACGTTATAATCTAAAATTGTGGTCTCTCTTTTTTATTGTTATCTCAAAACGTTATAATCTGCAAATTGTGGTCCCTCTTTTTTTTTGTTAACTCAAATCGTTATAATCTGCGAATAGTGGTCTCTTTTTTATTGTTAACTCAAAACGTTATAATTATGAGAAAAATTTCTAAGAAGGTAAAATTAATTTCTCAGAAAAATAGTAGGAACAAAATTTACGTAGTGCCTCTTGGCATTGAGATCAAAGAAATAATAACGAATTTCTTGCCAGTGTTCCAGTTCGGTCGTTCGGAATTCAAGATTTGTGTATATAAATTAAATATGCCAAACGGTTTTGGCATAATATTCTAACTTGAAAGAGGTTAAAATTGGTATCAGGCATGAAATTAACAGTTTAGATCCCCAAGGGAATGAAATTGTGTAATATTTGATTAAAGTATGTTCCGGTTCATGTGTTTTATATGTCATATTATGTGGTATTATATGCTCGTTCGGGTGGCTGCTGAGTTTGTACTACCCAGGAGTCCGAGCAGTATAAGTACAGTACAAGTACAATAATTTAAAAAGTCTATAATATAATGTGTTTTTCATGCCGGTAAAACTCAAATGGATAACATAACCCGCTGTATTGCAGGTATGTGCGATGTTTGGGAGCCTACTATCTACGGTTAACTGGGACTGCTATTGACTGTTATAATTATCTGGAACCACTTTATAATGACTACAGAAAGGTTTGTGTTGAAATTATTTAGAATTGTTAAATCTGATCAGTGATTTTCGAAGCGACCTTATATAATCAGTGACCAAACATTATGGGATATTTATTACCGACTCACTTTTAATGACCGGAATTTTATGTCCTTATCATACATTTTATGTCCTAATCATAAAATTTTATGTCCTTATCAGAAACTTGAATACCATGATTTAACGTCGGTTGGTTACCTTAACTCAACATACTCTTCTGGCTGCTGGCCAGGAGGTGACCGGGACATGATTTTAGGCCTGACTGGGACCGGGACCGGGACCGGGATACAAAATGTGACTTGACCGGGACCGGGACCGGGACCGGGACTGAGATTATCAATTTACCGTGACCGGGACCGGGACCGGACCAATAATTTCTGGGATTTCTATCTTACCGGGACCGGGACCGGGACCGGGACCAACAATCCAATTTTACCGGGATGACCGGGATTTGACCGGGATGACCAGGATTTGACCGGGATGACCGGGATTTGACCGGGATGACCGGGATGACCGGGACCAAAACTGGTATTCTCATATTGAAAGCTGCAACTTTCATTTACATTATAATTGAAAAAAAAACCGTCAATATGGGGCATGGGCCTAATGTACTACACCAATAATGTTCATGTACTGATTACTCAAGTTCAGTGGCGTAACGTTGCCTGTTGGCGCCCCCTGCCGAAAAAAGCGCCCCCCTGTTGGCGCCCCCTCCCCTTTTGGTGCCCTCCCTAAAATTGAACAAATTAGGTGATTTTAAAGAATACGCCGGTAAAATCTCTAAAAAAGTGTGTATCTAGACCAAAACGCGCAGTTTTGCTAGTACATTAGTTAAGTTTTCGAAATTGTCCCACATTCAAACGACGATTTGGCGCCCCCCTAAGACGGCGCCCCCTGCACAGCGGGGTCAGCAGGGCCTTTCGTTACGCCACTGCTCAAGTTCACCCTCATTCCTCATTCCTCGATCAATGATCCCTCAAATTATTCAACAGTTTCATTCTCCAATTCCAATTGACAATTGGGCGTAGCCCGAGTTGAAAACTTGATGTTAGTTTGCACTTATGAGTTATGTAACGATATAAGTTACCTAAACTAGTAAACTTGTTTAGCAATTTTAAACATTGTTTTATTTGGCTCAGAGGTGGTTTAAAGTTGAAATTCACAATGAATGAAAGTAAAAACTTAAAATCACAGTGAATGAAATTATGTAAAAGATCCCGGTCAAAATCCCGGCAAATTTGAGTGATTGACCGGGACCGGGACTGGGACCAAGAATCCTGAATTAACCGGGACCGGGACCGGGAATCCCGGTCACCTCCTGCTGCTGGCCACACTACTGTCTGTCCAACTGAAAACCAATCTTCAGATAAAAGTAAAGAATCGTAATGGTGTTTTCGAACTATCACATGTTGACGAATATGTAGAAAGTCTACTCACTGAAGAATCGTGGATCGGTCAGACATTGCCTAGGATACAGCTAAGGTATGATTGCCAATTTAATTTTCTGTCACACATTGCTCGTGAATTTTATAACGTTTTGCAGCGACGCGATGGAAATCAGCATATGTAAAGGTGCGCGCACGACATATCTTATTTACGTGTCTATATAATTAAGGAAATGCCGTAATTTTAATACCTTGTTAAGTTATGCTGTTTCCGGCGAAGATTTGATATGAAATACACTGGAACCTGGTCACTGGGCAGCTGATGCATCTTCATTACATATAGTTCATTTACAAACATCCTCGAATAAACTAACCCATGAATTAAGATGACGCCTATATTTGTGCCGTTTTTGTATGTACATACTACATTTACTGATTTACTCATATAGAACATTCAGGTACGTTCTAGAGGAAACTAATCTGCTCGAACCGCGAGTCAGTGCTTTAGACGATGATTTGATGGATGCTTCAAGCGACGACGACGAGTTACCCGACTATGTTTACTCCGAGCCTCGTGCCAAACTGAACATGAGGAAATCACCCAGAAAATCCCCGATATTGACACGCAGGTCTCCGCCCGTGTCCAAACCACGCGGTTCACCTCCTCCCAGAAGAAGAAGCAGAACTCCGCCTAAAAGGAGAAGAAGTGTTTCGCCTGAGAAAGAGAAACGGAGACGAAGTCCGACCCCCTGAGCGTAAGAGAAGGAGCCCGACTCCAGAGAGGAAACGAGAAAGATCTCCGAGGAGGCATAGAGAAGAAAGGGAAAGATCCCCGAGAAGAGACGACAGAGGGAGATCTCCAAGACGTGATGACAGAGGCAGGTCTCCCAGAAGAGACAGGTCCCCTCGTAGAGACAGATCTAGATCTCCTCCTCCTAGACGCGATCGGCGGCATTGAAGCCGCAGATCCTATCATACAAAAGAGTTATCTTTGTAATGAATATGTCGTCGTGACGTTCCCCTCCAACCAATGTACCAATGTATACTCAAGAGAGTTCGCGAGTTATAAGACAATAGATATGGGACAATTTCTAAGAAACTGAGTTAGTGAGTTTCTTGTTATGTACACCTCTATATTTGTACCACACCCAATTGCACCCTGAATTGCAGCTTGCTCGATTGGAAACAGTTATTTCTGTAATTTTTTATTTGACCAAGTTAAAGCTTTATGATTGATATATTATATTCTTATTTAAGCGGACGCAGTTATTCATCGCATTTACACCATTAATTCATATTTTTATTGCTGCTTCCACAGTCGAATGAATATTTTGATGCTGTTGTTATATCGCGATGTGATGATATTTTAATCAATTTTGACCACAGAAAGTAATTGTCTTCAATGAATCCTAAAATTGTTCACATCTTTCATGTTCGGTGACGTGATCCCAATAACCATTAAATATTTCCATCTGTTTACTTGTGAATGATATTAAAACACTATCTTCACAGACATGGCTTCCAATCAGAATATACCAAAGCCAGTAAAGTTCGCTTTTGGTGGCATTTCAGGGTAAGTTAGTTCAAGTTTTGTTTACATAACTTAGGTGAATTTAATATTCATGTTATGCTTATCTAAAGATGTACTAGAAGTGGAATTTTAAAAGAAAAGCTAGCCAACCAGTAAACACCTACCATTACTTACTAAATATAAACTAACCAACACCCGCCCACAGAATGGGGGCCACAGTCGTGGTGCAGCCACTGGATCTTCTTAAGAACAGAATGCAGCTTAGCGGAGAAGGAGGCGCTGCTCGAGCTCATCGCACTGTGTTTCATGCAGGAATTTCAGTTTTTAAGACGGAGGGATTTTCTGGGCTATACAAAGGGTAGGTGTAGAATCGTAGATCTCTTATTGAATAGAACAATAGAACACTGTTTACTTTTAAATTAGGTTAGCATAAGAAATCGAGTTGTCAAGAACTTAAGCAATAAGCATCGAGAAAGCAGTTCGACCGAACACAGAATTACAAATCCTGCAAAATAATCACGAAGACAGCACTGGATACAAAATCTGTAGAAAGTCGTACTTGTCCTATATTACATTATTTACTTGTTTGATCGCAGACTTTTTAGTAAGCAAAATGTAATTAGATCAATCCGAGCATTAAGGACTAAAGTAGGTGAACAGAACATCGATAGTAAGGAATATTCAATATAATAATAAAGATTAAAATGAGTTTGCTTTGACTGTCTAGTGTCTCGGGAAATTCAAGATTTTATTATAAGTTTATTCCCCTTGAACATATCCAAAATACCCAGAATTTCCGCAAGTTTAGCCCTGTTTTGTAACACTGACCTTCAACAGGTTATCAGCAGGATTAGCGAGACAGATCATGTACACAACAACACGTGTTGGTATTTACACTACTCTCTTCGAGAAGTTCTCCGGACCGGACGGTAAACCGCCTGGTTTCTTCACTAAGGCTGGATGCGGTAAGTTCTGAGTTTGAGAAGATAATTTGTTGAAACTTGTTCCGTGATTGAGGCTGGAGAGACTCAGTGTTAGGTTCGTTTGAATGATGATTGATGAACAATCAAGAAACTGGCGACCCGTTCATAAAATTGTATGTTGCTTTTATGGTACATACATTCAAATGTAATTTTACTTTTAAGAAACAAAGTTATTAAAAAATTGATTGTTTCAGCGCTGACAGCTGGAGGGATCGGTTCATTTATTGGAACACCAGCGGAGATATCTCTCATCAGAATGACAGCAGGTTAGTGTTCGTCCATGGTATGAACCTTCTTTGAAGAATGCTGGGTTGGCAAAGGGACCTGCTAGGAGGTCGAGGGTACTTTATTTTAGAATCTCCTTATTATATTATTATTAAATCCTTATGTACTTTAATGTCTAATATTTTAGCAATTAGCAGCTTACGTTTTCCAAACATTTTCACAAGACTCTCTTTTTCAGATGGATCACTACCCCCTCAGAAGAGGAGGAATTACAAAAATGTGTTCAATGCATTTTCTCGGATCACTAAAGAGGAAGGACTGTTCACACTCTGGAGGGTATGTGAATCCAAGTTTACTTTATTAAAATCAGATCTCATGGACTGTATATTTTATTTCATCTGTTGTAGCTTATCTTATTTATATATCCCCTAAACGTTTGTGACATAAACCATTCATATGCAGAACGTATTTTGTTTTCAAGTAGTATATTCACTATATGACCAGCCCACTCTAAAAACGACGTTGTTATTCAACAATGAATGGAGCAATAAGACCAAATATAGAAAATCTGTTGTTTGAATATATGTACTAGCTGAATAGTGAATAAGTTATGACGAATTATAAATAAGCAAATACAATAAATAAACAAAACAATAAATAAACAAAACAATAAATAAATGTATTACAGGGCTGTGGACCGACTGTATCACGTGCTATGGTTGTTAACATCGCTCAATTAGTCACGTACTCAAGCGCTAAGGAGGAGCTTCTTGCTTCAGGTTAACACTGATTTTAACTTTTAATATTCTTGCATTTTATATATATAATAATCCATTGCAAGGAATTCTATCTAAATTGAGTGTGTTACAGTCAGTATTGAGACCTTCTCTGAACTTATTGGTGTTTTTAATAGGACATCGGAACACAGAATCAATAACATTCTTCTGAGTTCAATCTAATCATTTGCAGGTTATTTCAAGGATAACATCTTTTGTCATTTCGCCTCGAGTATGATAAGTGGTTTGGTAACAACCTTAGCCTCAATGCCTGTAGACATTTGTAAGACAAGAATACAGAACATGAAAGTTGTGAACGGTGTGCCAGAGTACAAGGGAGCCGTGGTAAGTTTTCATTTTCTGGCATATTACTTACATTTCTCCTCGTATTTTAAACAATTCAACGTAACATTTCAACATTTTATTAATTCCACCATTACATGTTTTATCCTCCATTATCCATCAGGACGTGTTTCTGAAGACAGTAAGAAACGAAGGTGTGTTCAGTTTGTGGAAGGGATTTACCCCTTACTACGCCCGACTGGGACCTCACACCGTCATCATGTTTCTATTGTTAGAGCAGCTTAACACTTCTTATGTCAAGGCGTTTGTTAAGTAGGTTAAAATGAGGGTTTTGATAATTGGACTAGCTTTGACAGAATTGAATATAGTTGTAATGGCAGAGGTAAAGTTGTAATGCTTGATTTACCCGAGATAAACATTATTGATATACTGTAATATGATTATTATAATGAGAAAATGTGTATAGTTCAGTTTTTTAAGTTGCATGCAGACGAATTTATATGCTATCGCAATGGAGATAGGAGAAGCGTTTATTCGAAATCGTGGATAAGTTTTCAGTATTGAATTGATTTTAGCACTGACTGATAAATACGTATGTATGTTTGATAGATATGTATGTTTGATAGATATGTATGATATGTATGTTTGATATTAAGATGCAGGAGAGATAATATGACTGATGACGCAATTTTATTGTTTGATTGACGAGCTGAAAGGAAGAATCGGGCGAGATATATAATTATAATTAGGTTGTAATTTATTGAAATTTCCAGGGTATACGCAAGTATCAATGAGAGACTTGTTGAGACTTTTGGATTACATTTTTTGTCGATGTACACGATTGAAGATGCCTTGATAAATTATGATTTGATCGAAGATATTCTAAAAATATCATATCTAACATGTATGTTTACATTAAAGGAGTATTCACTATTGCCTTGGCCAAAATTACATTAGCGTCAGCTTTTCGTCAAATTTTAAAAAGCCCTTTCGATCCCCCTAAGATTCTGACGTAAAATGTGAATATTTCTTCAATATGGGTTGTTTGAAGTGACATAGTTTGGTGAAGCTTTAGTCTCAAAATTAAAGGCGATTTCGACGCCTAAACCATTTGGTTAGTTGAAATTAACTTAATAAAGTGGTGTTAAGCACGCCGGGTAATTTTAAATCCGGATCTGACCCTTTCTTCAATAAGAAAGTTGTGCATTACATTCAAGCTTCAGAGCTATAATAAATGCGAATCGGAAGAAATCTTGTAAATAATATTATCGATAATAAGTTTGCCTATCTTATCTCTGAATATGATTGTTTTAATGATAAGTTCGATAAGGGATATGCTGTTTCATTTTCATAAATGAACCAATATAAACAGTAAAACTAAAAATTCTGTCCGTTTTAAACGTAAAACTTCTCCCTTTATAATAGTAGTCACATTATAATGTAAAAGTGAGCGTGTGCTTGCACATTCAACATTACATACATCATATACATGGTTTGCAGTTTGTATTGCGATGCAGTATGCAGTAGTACTGACACTGTGCCGTGGTAGATAGGCGAGATGCACCGCTGTGTACTGGGCCATAGCCACGCCGAGCTGCGAAGGATTGAAATCGTGAATAAAATACATGGTATTTATTTCCCTATATATAGGGAGGGCACCATCGGCCGTGCATACCGACACTGCGACACTTTACCTGGGGACCCCAGGCTACCATATTTATGTTCATTTAATCAATAATAATCGTATGAAGTAGTGCACTACTGCAAGTAGTACTAGGCTGCGCTGTGCATCCAATAATATTAATTGACGATGTCAGCCCTTCGAGATCGTTGCTCTGCAGTCTGCATGCAGAGCAGATCTGAGAGCGCAACGATCTTGCAAAGCAAAAATAATAGTTCGCGGCGGAGTCCTCCAACGACCAACAAATAGTATTTCTAGCAACCACGTTGGATCAGTTTGTATCACGCCGCGCCGTGACGGCCCCATTGTCGTTTCACTATGCACTAGGTGGTAGTATATCGTGGCCACTCGTACTGCGCGGCAGGTCTACAACGTATGACCAAGATCGGGATCTTACGTTCAACGTTGCGATGTTGTCCATTGTTAATGGACTAACCCCGCGCGCGCTATTCCGTTATAATACTTGCCCCAGCCACACTATACTACTTCGAAGAAATTTAGGAGAGTAACATGAACATCCGTCAACACTGGGACAGGCGCCACGCCGAGCTGTAAGAATTGACATTAGCTCTAACCAGAGCCCTCTCGCTTGCAGTATTGCGCGACCGCCGAAGGCGGCACAGGAGTATATTCTACTTGTGAAACAAGCGCGTCACGCAGTACGCGTATACACATGGCTATGCATTTGCTCTATCCAGAGCGCTTGCGCTTGCAGTAGCGCGCGCCCGCCTCTTGACGTGTGAAACAAGCGCGCCCAAAGTGGCGCGAAAGCGGCTCTTACTAAATCGCTCGCCCAAAAATTTCACGTGACTTTGGTTTTTTGGTTTTGCAGCCGTATTACTGGGTCGCGCTCAGCCTGTCATTCCGCCAAATCTTTATTCGATAAATGAACATAATAGCCTGGGGTCTTGTAGCGCGATGCACTACTGGGTCGCGCGCGCATCAAATAATGCTTCTCGCAACCACAGTAGTGTGCAAACCAACATTCGAACCACCAGCAGCTGGTGGTCAATTTCCTACGAACGCGACTTAATTTTGGTTCAGACTGGAGTCGAGCGCTACGTTATAGCTGTATATATAGCTCGTTTCACGACGAAATCTTCATTTATTGAGTTTGTCTGTCGATTATGTTGGAGTTTGTATTTTTAATTTTGTACTCGAATACTGTTAATTTATTTTTATTAAATAGTTGTTTTTCGTAACAGCACACTAGTACGTGATTCCTTTTGTTATTCTTACATAATTAGGAAGATTTTAAACTTCAATACTATAAATAATCAAATATTTACGAACACCGATCATCGGTATGTACCCATTATGCATTATTGGTATCGAAGTCTTATGTTGAGCTGGATATCGAAAAATTTCAAAATGTAAGGCTGTAATTTTGTACTTGTTTAGGTGTAGAACTAGGATTAACAACTTGATTGCTAGGAGCTAGGAAGAGATTTTAGTAATGATGACCCTTTAAACTTAAACTATATCTCTAGTGCACTTCGATCGGTTTTCTTTTCAATTTTGATAAAACCTAGTCGTGATCTTTGTTTCAGAACTTCACTAATTTATTAAGTTTTGTAGTTTATATAGACGGAACATGAGCAGATACCATTTGATTAATTATAATATATCCGATTTGAAATATTATTCTGTCGGAGTTTGAGTTCAACATGGACACATTTATTAACATCCCGCATGAATTTGTGTCGTCTTTACAATTTTTTGCGCTGAATTTGTATGCTTATTAATACTGCCGCATGATATCAGTAGCTGCTATAAAACTAGAGTGTATAGCATGTGTATTATACGATGTTTCCCACGTAAAAATCGCAGGTTGTTTTGGTGCGGCTGGGCACTCTACTGGTGATTGAAACCAGAGACTGAGAAAAACTTTGACATAATTTTCAAGTTTGATATGACCTAATAACTACCACATTTACAGGAAGTATGGTAATACATTCTTGTCAGCTGTCTGGGCAAATCTTCTCTCGCAGAATTGGATTAAAATTTAATGTATTTTATTTCTCACTTCCAACGATGTCGCAATTATTAGGTAAAATTTGAAGTTATTTTGAGATTCAATTAATAAATTTTAGATTGCAGCTTGATATCACTTAGTATGTACATTGTACTCGGTTGCAAGGGTAGAACTTATGAGAATACTATCATAGTATTATTGCACTATACTATTATGGGTTCATCAAAGTTCGTATCATGATTTGTCACAATTAAACCATCGAGTCACTTGAGGAAACCCGTTAAAGCTCGCAATTGGCGACGAGATAAAGTTTGTGGTACCTCTAGATGTTAAGTTAACTCTTAGGCTCCAATCTTCCTTACTATACCTACCACTCCTTCTTCCTTGATAAGAAGTAGATCCATCTGGAACAGTGAGCTGCTTCTTCCCTTCTATCCCGTACTAGCCTACTCAGCTCTCTCCAAACCGTGAACAACTACTCCCGGTGCTAGAACTTTAACCGCATAATTATAACAGCACAATTCTTTCGCTTGAATCTCAGTCTGCTGTAAGACTGCTGTACCGGTAGAGTTTTTACTTGTATGATTCAGCAATCTGCTCTTTAGATGGTACCGTTACCTCCCGCCATAAGACTGTGCCGTCTTGGTGACCTTGAGAATATCATAAGGTCCGATATATAAAAGCACTATCCAATATCGAGACCCACTCAGGATCCCAAACCACGACTCCTTTCGGTCGTCTGTACTTGCTTTTTTCCTCCCAGCATGGACTAAGTCAATGATACTGTCTTACATCGCTGGCCTTGTTCTTATAAGTGTTCACTCGGCGCTCACAAGATAACATGTTGAGAGATCTGTTGCAGAACCTTGTCGTGCCGTCATTTATATACTCCTTGACTAAGAGCTACTTTACACCTACAGCAAAAATGTGCTAAATGATACCCATCCTCTCCTCACATTACTGTACTTGCACTTACCATCCTCATCTTCGCCATAGAGGTGGTTAAGAGGGTGACGTACACAGCATCTAGCACGAATCCAATAAGTGAGTCTACAGTGCGTGTCGAAATACATTGCATGTACCCTTATATATTAATTGAGACAGAATTTTAATAAATCAACAAATTCTTAAAATTTAAAAAGGTAGAATTTAATTCTATGGCATTTATTGAAACCTGCTTTTTTAAAGTTGAGAATTGGTTTCAATTTCTAGAATATCACGATAATGTTGACTCAAAACTGTTTCAGGCAGCTATCAAGTCTCAAGATATGACATAATTTGATAGAATGTTAGTACCAACGCTATCAGTGCATTGAAGTCGAGTTCTCGATACAGGTATTATAATTAGGTTCTATCGACCGTTTTTGTAGTCTTAACTCATTTTTATTTGTTATTATACGACCAATTAAAACCTAGCAAACCAGACTTCTTTATGTGCTAAATGTTACTTTAACCTTAATAATAGCAGCATTGTGGCAGATATCCAGTTACATTTTTTCCAGCCGTATATTATAAATATACAGGGTGGGCCAAAAGTCAGTGTGCAAACGTTGGCATTAATAGCTCAGTCACTGAGTGCCCAATTGAAATAATTGGTTCTGGTATGACTTACTACCACCACTGGTTCGAGAAATTTGTCAAATCGAAACATATTTGTGTTCATTGTTTTCAAAAGAAGGTTCATTTTCGCATTTATTTGATAGTTTGGATAATCGGATCGAGCCAAATTTTATTGAATTGTGTTTAGCCATTTAAATTACGTTTGCTCTAAAAAATGAGAGTATATATATATTACTCATGCAACTAAGATAAATTGAGTATAAATACTCAATTTATCTTAGTTTAAGTTCCAAGTTATATAACTCATTTTCTAAAGGTCTCGTAAACTTTAATCAATTACAGAGGGTGTGGCCTCTTTTTCACTGAAAAGACGCCATCAGATTTCATTGCATTCTGGGACCAATTTTGGTGTGATTTAAAGTATCCTACAAATTGGTGTTTACTGTTTCGACTTTTGTAAAATCACTGTAACAATATAATCTGTATTCTTATAGTTTCAACCATAATAGTGAAATAGAGGGGCTGGCCAATAGCCACACCCTCTGTAATTGATTTAAGTCTACGAAACTTTCAGAAATTTGTGTGTAATTCGGAGATAAATTAAACAAGTTGTTATCGGCCACCATGTGTAAACGGAATGTTCTAGCAGACTGTATAATACTATAACATACATTTTCTTACACACATAATCTAATCTCTGGAATGTTGCTATGATATCAATGGCAATGTTTTGATACTGTGTATTATCATGATTATGCCTTACAGGCCGATCTTCCGATGGAGTTTCGGTTGCCATGGCAACACATCAATATGATAAAGAATTTGTAAACGCAGTCACAACTCTGTCGTGTACACTGTACGGTGCGAGCGGTTATTTGGCACTATCCGTCGCGGAGTCGAGTCCGCGGCGGAGCCGCCGGACTTCGAGCGGACTCCGAGCGGACTCCGGCGGAGCCGCCGGACTCCGAGCGGACTCCGGCGGTGCTCCGCCAAAATGTATTTACAGTGGACTCGAGTACATTTTGGCGGACTCCGAGCGGAGCCGAGCGGACTCCGAGCGGACTTTAAAGTCCGCCGCGGACTCCGAGCGGCTCCGCGGCTGCTCGGCGGAGTGTCCGCCGCGGACTGAGCCACTAGGCGGACTCCGGTCCGCCGCGGACTCCGGCGGAGTGCTTGGCGGACTCCGCCAGACTTGAATCCGGCGGAGTCCGGCGGAGCTTGGCGGAGTCCGCCAGCTCGGCGGACTCCGCTCGGAGTCCGCCGGACTCCAACAGAGTCCACTGACTTCCGTCTTCCGACCCTCGGCTAAATTTGTCACGTGACATACAACATAGCATTTTGCAATATTGTGGTCAGATGAAAAGGTCGCTAGTGATAAACCTTAACCATTACCCTCACAATGTCAATAGTGTACAACTCTAGTCCTAACTTTGACCCTATAATGTATAAACGTTGACCCTAACCCTCCACCAAACCGTCCGCAGCGAAATATCAATGTCATTGACTGGTCACGTGACCAAAACAATTTTTGTCATATTATCTCATATGGGGAAGCGTTTTTAGTTTTACCCTACACGTTGCATGTGGCGTCATTCGGCCGGATCCCAGCAAGCAAAAATACGTCGACCATCACAGGACGACGCCAGCCAGCACTCTCTACGCTCTTCGAGCTCCGATCGTCCTGTGACGAAGTAAGGACGAAGCCTGAGGTCCTCAGGTAACATCGACCACCGATTGAAAATTCAAAGATTTTTTGACATAAAGGTCAAATGTAAAACTAAAATCTTGATGCTGATTGATTGACGACGTCAATTTTTGAGCACAGCGCGAGCGCATGCGGAAAAGGACCGCGTAGCTAGTCAAGATGTTGATAAATATTTGGCTTGTGGCGCGATGTGTTGCTCTAACTATAGCCCTCTCGCTTGCAAAAGCGCGCGACCGCCGGAAATGACTTGTGGAACAAGCGCGCCCGCAGCGGCGCGAAAGCACCTGGTTAGCTAAATGAACGCGATGTGCCTTGCATTGTAGGATGAAATCCTACTAGCTGACGCCACTCGCAGCTGTGATGTTAGCTGTACGTCAGCGATCGAAATTTATACGCGTATCACCCGTTAAGATGTGCCACCCGACGCGCCACGCAATTTTTCTCGTTGCTCGTCGCACGTCGACGCCCTCATTAAATCTTTGGAGAAAATCGCTCGCCAGAATTTGTTGGACCAGGACGATGTCCTAGCCTGGCAGCTCATTGCGCGGCGCGTCGCAACGAGCTTCGTTGTTCGTCGACGTGCGACGAGCAACGAAAAAAATTGTGTGGCGCTTCGAGTGGCACATCTTAACGGGGGATACGCGTATAAATTTCGATCGCTGACGTACAGCGAGCAGCACAGCTGCGAATGGCGTCCCGCGTCAGCTAGTAGGATTTCATCCTACAAGGCACATCGCGTTTACCTAGCTAACCAGGTCATTTCCGCCTCCGGCGGTCGCGCGCTACTGCAAGCGAGAGGGCTATAGTTAGAGCAACACATCGCGCCACAAGCCAAATATTTATCAACATCTTGACTAGCTACGCGGTCCTTTT